CGACCTCTTCTAAAGCCACTGTGGATCTTGTATAGGTTCTTATCAGTTTGCACAGAGTCAATGATTTTCTGCCAGTATTCTTGTTTCGCTTTGCGGACCATAAAAAGAAAGGTGCAATGCTCCTTTTTGAACTCCATCTGGTTGCTGGGCCTGGTAGCTTCTAAGGCTCTGTAGATGCGGTAGGCCTCCTTGCAGTCCTTGGTCCACTAATGGTTTCCCTTACTGTTGCTTGTGGTGGGTATGCCGACGGCTGTAAGGGCCAATCGTAGCACTTTTGTGAGCTTGTCCACGTAGTTGTCTAAGTACCAATTAGACTCAATGTTCGTCCGGTCAGACATAGAAGCCATTCCTGTCTATACAAAGGCAGAGAAGCGTGGCAGATTCTCTTCCTTGACCTTATAATGGTACTGTTCCAGCAGTTCGGTACCCCGGCTGGGGATAATAATTAATAGGGTATTGTGATTCGATCTATTGGCCAGTTCCTGGCACACCTCTGTCTCAATAAAGGGAATGTTAATAAGCGCTATATCAATAACATGACCGGCGCGATGGGTGGCTTCTTTTGGTATATCTATGAAATATAGGGCGCTGTCAGTTATCCACTTTACCACGTCAGTCCCTCTGTTTTGGCCTTCCACTCTGGGCTCAAACGTGAGATATGTGATGACCTGCTGCCAAGCCGCCCTCAACTGCCAGGACTGTGGTAGCCAATCGGAAGCTGGCTGTGGGGATCAGGCACAAGCAGAGCTCCACCTGCTCCTGGACTTGGTCGCGCTTTTCGCAATGCGTTGTTAGTCATTTCTTTCCTTTTCTCTTTAGCTTAGAATCTTCGTCTATAGCACCCAATGGACTGAGTTCGCCTCAATGCCTTGATCTGGTCGTGACAAGATAGTGAATATTCGGGTCTTCTCCAATTAAGAAATTAGCCGGTGCTTTGATGCTAGTGAGGTAGTCAATCATCTCGTCAGAGCGCAGTGACCGGTAGATATTAAGCATGGTATACCCATTGACATCCAGCCACCATCCAGCCAGAGCGCGTCTCGGATGTTAATAGGTCTCTTTTGCTGGGCCTTGACCCTCCGCCCCTTCCGCACATACGTCATGACCCATGGGCGATCCTGAGTAGTATTCTATGAGTCTACCGGGGCATATGATTCGAACCCCGGGTGGTTCTGTGTCCTTGTCCCCGGGCCCGTCCAAGGCTCGTTGACATGGATAACATCAGCGCCCTGCGCCCATCCGAGCTCAAGGATAGTGTTGTGCTGTGGCATCCCCTTGCCTGCATTGCACCAGATCACACATAGGTCAGGTGATTTGTGTTATTAGCATTATCCCTTTCGGCAGTGCTGTCCTCTACCAGGACGTTAGTGTCCTGGCATTATTCTTTAGGGAGTTTGGGTTGTTTGCGAGTCCAGCCTACAGGTATTGTGAGGGTGGCCTTGCGCTGGGGATCTTGCCGTAGCCTTGGCCGGTCCGGTTGAGAGGCCTAAGAGGACGGCCCCGGGGCCTGTGACGGTCCCGGGGCGCTCATCTCAGTGTCTCCGTCCCCGTTAACTGAGTGTCTCTCCAGGGTGGTCCCGCCGAGGGAGCTGGAGATCGTGCTGGCCCCTGATGACGACGTGTGGTTGGGCCGTGAGCCGGTGCTCACTGCCCTCTTCTTCCCCTTGGCAGTGGCGCTGGGGTTGTTCTGTGTCGCAAGTGGATTGCTGGAAGGTGCGTGCCTGTTCTGGCCGAGTCTTTCAGACGCCGATGACGTGACGTCGTGGACCTCTCTGTAGCGTTTGGCTCTAGCCCGTCTGACACTCTGGAGCTGCTTCTTGTTACGGTGCACAAGCTCCCCATGCTCGCGCTTGGGGACTGTTGTGCAGTTGTCATGTCTTGCTAAGAAGAGGCTGTGGCAGTTCATACAGTGGGAAGGTCGGTCATAGGGCTTGCCTGCCTCGTGGTCGTCTATTTAGTCGCCACAGTTATTATAGTAATGAGCCCGGTTGCACTTCTTATCGAAGCAATAGCCCTTATATCCCGGGTTATGGATGCTGATGGTGGGTTTCTTCTCAACCAGTCTTGAGCGACCGCTGTCGTTAAAGAGGCTGAACGGCCTCACGGGTGTTAGGAAAGAAATCATCCAGCTGCCTCTGCATGTGGCGGGGTCTGTGCCTTATCTAGACGGCTTGTATTTGACAGGGCGTGCTTTTGTCTGGGCATATACCTCATCCTCAATCACGTCTTGTGTCTAGATGTGGTTGCCCAAGTTCACGTAGTCAGGAAAGTTCCAAGGGATGTCTGGCACCACGTATGTGAACTAGCGCTCTGGAACATCTATTGCTATAGCGTATGTAACTTTTCTTAGACGTAGCTTCGCTTCTGGACCTAGCAGTTGTTCCCTAATCTTCCTGGTTGCCACCCTGATAGACCAACCAGTGTTGGTCGGGCTGATGTCCGGGACGTCAGCCAGGCCTAGCCCCAGGTCTTTAAATTCCTTACAGATTATAAAGCGAAGAGTGAAGGGCTGCTCCTTCCATATATGCTGATCTTTATTTAGGCGTATTAAAATTCATGTCTCATCCCTGGCTAGGGCAGACGCTGAGGCCCCGGGGCGGGACGTGCGGGCGGAGTGTCCGGCACTGGCATAAGTGATAGCGTTGCCCCCTGAATTCGTCACGTGGCCTGCTTTAGCCACTTCTGTCCAGGAGACCTGCTTGGACGACTTCCCTTTAGGGCCTTGCCCATACGCGTGTGTAGTGTTAGTGATGATGGTGGTGGTGTCAACAGGCCCAGAGCTTTTGACACAGATAGACAGATAAAAAATACCATTAGTGTTAGAAAAGATAGCAGTGTTTAGGTGACTATAAATCATTTCAATCACTAAGTGGGCCTCCCTTTTATACTCGAACTGTTGTGGTCCGTTGTAGGTGCGTACATAGCCGTCTAGGCAGCCAGCGAGCTGTCCTAAGACCGTTTGTTTGATGCGGGCCTGGCACTTAAGGTCCTTTAAGTGAGGTATAAAAGCTGTCACGGCGAGCATACTGTGGAGCTGGGACATGGCCGGCAGCAAGCAGCTATTACTCTATTGACGAGAATATCAAGACTAGAGAGGAAAGGAAGAGAGAGAGAGAGATAGGTATAGTGGGAGGTTGCCCCTTTAAGGGGATCCTCTGGTCAGATCCTTCCCCTATTGGGAAGTACCCGCTTGTCATGTGGGAAGGTCTGTGCAGGCCGTCACAAGGCATATTTGAACAATAAGGGCGTTTGCAAAGTTAATAAAAAAGGTTTTACAATAGAAAAAGTGTAAGTTTTCTTCTTTTAAAAAGAATTTGTTAACGCTGGAAAAAGGTAATTTTAATTTTATTGTCGCTAGTTAATTAGCATTAAAATAAGCACGCGAAAAAAGGCATTGGCTTTTTTAAAAAAGAGTTGTAATATATCATCTTGAGGTATGATTATAACAGTTACCGCTTATATCGTAAATTGTATAACGTTAAAGTAGTTTATTATTGAAATATAACTTTCTACGAAAAATCTAAATAAAGGCTTATTTTAACTTGTAAATATAAACTTAAATAGCAAAACTTCAAGATTTTAAGCTTACGATATTTTATTTTGATGAATGAATATTTTAAAGTACGCCATTAAAAAACTTCAGGTTTAAAGCGCAAAAGTTCTTTGTATAAGATATTAAAGTTAGCATAATCAACTTGTATAATTAATCGATAAAAAAAGGGATTTACAAAAATTTACTTTACGTTTTACGGAAATATCGGCCCGGCTGAAGATTATAATCTTACGGATATCGTACGTTTTTTTCTTTTAGAAATGTAACGAAAAAGATTTTTATAAAGGCGGTCTAGCAGCGTTTTAGTCTCATTTATATAAAAAGTCACCTCATATTAAACGCGAAATGTCAATTAAAGTTAAGATTAAATCATATGTTAGTCACGTGGAAGCATTGATAAATTTGTTCTTTCGTACAACTTTTGAAAAGCGTTAAACGCAAACGAGTTATTTTTAAAAGAACTGGTATAGCAAAGGTTTTGGAAGCATTTAAGGAAATGTCCTAGATGAGTCGCCAGTACGGCCGAGACAGGATTGATAGTTCGTGATGCGTAGACCAAGTCCGAAGGCGACCAGCCTTTATCGACTGTGTGCCGCGCGGCATACTGAAGGATTTCGGCCAGGTGGCGAGCAGAAAATGACAGATTGCGACCTTCCCTTAAGCGACTGGTCGCAGCCAGTACATGTGAAAGTTCACTGTGCAATCTTTCCCAGGGTCTCTCTTGCCACAGTCGACGTGATCTAGTCCTTGGTGACTCCGTGGCAAGGCTAACGAGTCGGACTCCTCGAAAATACTCCTGAAGCTTCTGTGAAGTCTCAACGGACACTATTTGGCGGAATGAAGTCAACAGTTTTGGTTCAACTCCACTCTCTACCACGAGAATCAGCCATGAAGAGACGTTCGTCGTCGCGGGCGTTCCAAGGCCCATCCATGCAGCGATACGGCGTGCCACGGTCTTCGACCTTCCAAGGTCATCAACAAAAAGACAGATGGCATCAGCAATGGGGAGCAAGATCCGGTGATACATATGATCGGCGATTTCGCTATGATGATTCCTGCAGCTAGTAGAGCAATACATTATCATTTTCCATCCCAACCCGTCGTCTTACGCATTCAAACAAGTATATAAAACAACCACCAATGGATTGCATAAAGTTTCTGAACCAGTGGCTGTGCTTAGGAGATAGCCGCCCCACTGCTGAACGATCTCCCACGACCGCCCGCAAACGACACCACATATGTCATGTTCGCTGTCGCCACAACCACCGTAATCGGTCATCAGCAATGCCCAATCTGTCGCGCACGGCAAGATTCAGGGCAACCACCGACTACGGGTCAAATTTGTACATACGACCGTTATCAAGCATAAACACCATTCACTGCCAATTTCAATAAAAGCCTGCTGGCTCGCAGGCAGGCAGGCTGCATGCATTGGAGTTGCCACTACCTACGTCTGCTGCGTGACCGTCTGTGACAGTAAATCCCCAATGATTTTCGCCAGCTCACCCGTCTGCCTCAGGACAAGCTCCTTGCAACCCCCAAACTTATCCGGATGCCACAGCGTTCTCTGCTTGCGCAAGATCTTCGTGACATCCCCTTCACCAGAGTCCTCCTTAATCCGGGCGTATACCTTGACCAGCTCGCCAAAACTGTGCTTGCAGAATCTGATGCCCAGTTCTTGCATACTCGTCTGACATAGAGGCTCGACGCAAGCATTTGTTGGCGATCCGGGAGTGGTTGGCGGGTGTGCCACGCGCTTGAGGCTGTCTCGCAGGCTCGGGTCTTCTTTGATGTCGTTCGATAGCTGTGACCACCGCAAAAACTCCTCTGCGAAAGCAGCTTCGCGCTGCTTTTCCATGTTCTCTTCCCGACGGCGCAATGCTGCCTCCTGAGCTTGCCTCCGCCTCCGAAATGTTTCTTCCTGCGCCTGTCGTTCTGCCTCCGCCGCTCGCTCTCTCTCCCTCTCCTCGTTCCGTTGCCTCTGCCGCTCCACATCCGCCCGAATCTCTTCCTCCTGTCGTCGTAGCTCGATGTAGCTTGAAACTGGCCACGTGAGCGTTGTCCATAGCGCTTTGAGTAGCACCACGCCTAGGACCGCTCCCCGTGGCGTCTCGACACGTCCCCTGGCGAAGGTACCGTACGTTGTGGTGTTGCGTGATCTGGCGGCCTGCGGATGGTAGAACAGCATAAGTGAGAGGCATAGGACTGCGACGCAGACTATGGAGGTCCACTTTAGCAGCCATATCGCCAATTTCGCCAACTTGAAGAGAAACGTAGGGAGACCAGATGCTACCCATGCCGAGCGCGCGGCTGAGGCGAGGGAATCTAGGATGGTCTTTCCGCCGGCCTTGACACAGGCCCAGATCCAATTGAGGCCGTGGAGGAGGAAGTCGCAGGCGGATGCAGGTATTGATTGGAAGCCGTGGGTGACGAGGTGTTGGGCATGATGAAGCCGTGCGATGGTTTGGTTAAGATGTGCGGGGGGCAGTGCATTTGTAAGGTTCCATGAGAGTATCAATGCGTCCCTCAGAGCCTGAATACTCATGTTGATGGGCGCCATAGTGGTAGTGGAAGGTGGCGATCACTGGTGGGATTGTGGGTGACTAGAGGTGTGGAGTAGCAAATTACAACAGTGCACTGGTGTTGGAAAGGTACCCGTGCTACGCCCCCATGGTGAGCCCGAGCGAATCCTGACTAAAGTGGGGCGTGGCACGGGTAAGCAAAGAAGGCACCTTTACAGGTAGACAACGGAACCTAGTTGTTCCGTCCCAATCCAGCCCCCCTCTGGCACAGAGCTGCCACGGTCGCACAAGAACAAGACAGAATACACACACACACTTCACTCTCACGATTGGCTCAAATCTGACAAGATCATTGGCACTACCCTTGACCAACAATTGACAACCTACCATTGCAGTGCGTGCTAATTCACCCGACTGGAACACAACCGAGGGTGAGTCATGAATATAGTAGACGTCCTTTTGGCCCTGTGGCCTGATCGCGCTTCTGATCATCACTGGTCGGAGGCTGCACCGCATGGTTGGAGCTAAAAGCAGGCAAAATATGCACCTGAAAGCATGCATATTTGTCACGACCTTGGACGCCCAATCAAATGATACATCGATATCATGATGGCGACACACGAAGAGGCGGTGAATCAAAGAAACCGATATAAAACATGTATTTGAAGACCGGAGATAGGGATTGATGGCCCCGAGTGACGTGTCAACAAGTCAATTGGGTCGCCTAGAGGCTCGCCAGTTCCTCGCGAATCTATGTGGCTGTTTGAAGAGAATATGGGTCTACTTCTTCGGCCTCATAGTCAACGCCGTTCCCGATCAGCTGCTTGACCCTTTACATGACCATGGTATTTGATGGTACCTCCGGGAAGCATATGCCAGTGCTGAGCTGAAAGGCCTCCCTTCTACCTAGGAAGGTGTACTTAGGGTGGCATATTGCCCACAACCACTGTAGCTGCGCACCACCTCGAGAACATCAACAACACCAATGCAGCAGATTTGCAACCTTTAGGCCTTCTTGCTGTGCAGGTTCGAATCGACCAATATGAATAAGGCGCTAATCTCGCTCTGAATGTTATCAGATAGACTTGAGTAGCTGCTTGGATCCAAGTCCCAAATAGAATCATGAGATAGATACGGAGTATCCTCAGGGAAGGCCATGGTCTTATGGAGGAGGCAGGTGGGAAGCTGTAGAGAGAAAGGAGAAGAGGATGGATACGTGGCAGGAGTCAAAAGCTTGTGTCATCATTCCCCTTTTATACTTGACGCGAAGGCAGCCCATCCGTATGGATCAATCTAAGCATCTTAGCCAACCCTAAGGTGGGAGAAATTTCCTGACGACTCGACTATTCAGTGAACCCCTGTTCAGACCAAGCCCCAGCATCTGAGTGTCTTCTAGAGAAGGAAGGAGGAAGAAGGCAGGCCGCTTCAGGTGGGAGGTGGGCCTCCCATATATATAGGTACATGTGGAGGTACAATGTACTTGTACCGTAACATCACTCCCACTCTTCCTAAGGCGGAATGCCGTCGGCAGCGAGAGAAAAAGAAACGCTCTTCTTTTCCCTCTTTCCTGCAGCGCCTGTATAAGCTCCTAAATTCTTGCCAACATCTTTGCCTTCTCCGTATTTGTGTACGAAGGCCTTAAACGCGTCGGTAAGCACCAAATTTTCCCTTGGTTCCCATGTAGGCTCGATATATTCGGTCCACTTCACCAATACTGACTAAGCTAAGGAGCAGAGTCGCACACTTACAATTTCCCGGGGCAGACACGAGGGCCGAGGGAGAACGGCTGGCTAGCTGACTTGATGTCTGTGCAGCCAGGCTCAATCCATCGCTCGGGCCTGAAGGTATATGTGTCGCTCCACCAGCGCTGGTCATGTGTAACGGCCCACGGAGAGACGCAAATTTCAGTCTAGAATGATCATCAGCTATAGAATTTTTGGTCCTCTCTCCTCAGCCACTGTCAACTCACCCCCTTTGGAACATAACGTCCGTCAACCATCACGCCCGGAGATGTGCGCGGTGTACCCTGTGCAACTGTCGGGAACATGCGCATACCCTCGTTCAGCACAGCCCTGAGGTACTTCAGCTTTGTAGCCGACGCAATATTAATACTTTCATAGCTAGAGTAGGCTGAACGGATTTCGCAAGTCCACTTTCGGTACGCTTCAGGGCTTTTCAGGAGAAAGTAAAGGGTCGAGGTCATTGTAGATCCACTGGTCTCGCCTCCCGCCAGCCTGAGGATTTAACAGTCATTAATATATAATTTGTAATATGTCAAGAAGTGGATTGTGTGCTTACGCCATGCTCCAAGAATGCGCTTCCATTTCTGCCTGAGAGACTTCACCCTTGCGGACCTTATCTGCAACGTCCTCCAGGAAGTCGTCTTGTTTGTCTTGCTTTTGAAGTCGACTGCTACACATTAGCCATTTGACCAAACCTGTCATGAAGGGACGTATGCTGCTCACGCGACGGTCTGATTCTTCCCGTACTGGATCATCTGATCACGGAAGCCAATGGTCCATTTAGATGGAATGCATTGCGCGAGCTTGACAAGCATGGGGTACCGCCTGAGATTGTCCATTACTGTGACGCTGTGCATGAGTCCGAGCATGAGATCAAGCCAAGGATGCGATGCTTCTGCGGTCCCTACTTAGTCTCTGACTTTCTCCAAGCTCCATGACTGGAACTCACCCCTGTCAAGGCATCCGAAAGATTCACCAAAAGCCATTTCGCCCATGATATCAAATCCGAGGTAGATAAACCACTTGGTCATGTCAATACACACGTGATTAGTGCCCATATTTCCCAGTTTATATATAAACGAGTCAATGTTGCGCTGCAGAACCTTCTCTTGCTGAGACAGCCCCTTGGCTGATAGAGCCGGAGCGAATAGTGCGTATTTATGGTGAGCCAGCACAGGATCCCGTTCGGTTCCCATGGATTGCTCGTCCATCCCAGCGCCAAACATGTCGTAAAACTCATTCTTGAGGATCTTTGCCACTCCTCTGGTTCCAGGCATATAAATATCTGTCCATGCGTCTGGACTCGAAAAGGAGAGCTCGTTAGGGCTCACGCGAACGACGGTACCTAGCAGCCCCGTTAGACTTTCATGAACATTCAGTTCAAGCCGTACCACAACAGGCTCACCATAGCATTTGTGACAATCCTCCAGGTGCCGATGAAAGCGACCATCTACGGAGCGGTAGAAGCGCCACAAGAGCGAGGCCCTCGCCCAGAATGGTCCGGGGTAGTTGCGTAGAGGGTGAAAGTACAGGTTGTAAATAACATGACTGGCCATATACGCAACCGTCTCCTTCAGTGTCAGCCACATCTTTTCTTCATATCGCGACTATAATACACTTACTAGAGCTAGGAACACTTTTACAAATAGCGCAGCTGAGAGATGCTGGTTGTGCACAATCCAGTGCCACAATTGATCCGTAATACCTCGACCAGCTGGGGCTGGTACAGCGGATGAGTTCATGCTATAAGTCGTAAACGAATAATTGCGGCAAAGAATGATGATCAGTTCTATAAGGCTGAATAGAGACAACAATTTGCCTTTAGGGGGTCGAAGATAGTGTGAAGGATTGGTGTTGCGGTTTTTCTAAGTGGGTAATATACTTGCGAATAGGGACATAATATAAGGGTTTAACAATCACCAATTGTAAGCTGCCCCCTTTAAATGATATTGTCAGTTTCTCTATTATTTGTGTCTAACCAATCCTTCATCAAGCCAATCTAAATTCTATAAAAAGCAGAGGCGTAATTTGTTGATACATTCATTCATTCGCGTATTTGTTTCTTTGTTTCTTTGTTTGTTTATCTAATATCTTTTTTTTTTTTTTTGTTCCACATCTGGTTGTTTAGTTACCGTTTGTTTGTTTAGTTTCACTTACATGTTTCGATGGTTTGTTTGTGGTTTTTATAGTGATTGTGTTCTTGCTTAATTCTTTCGACTTACAGGCCCATTCAGGAGCTTTTATTTAACATTATATGCCTCATGGTCCAGAAATTTTCAGGTTCCAAGCCTTCTGCCTGTCGTGGTTGAAAGGTGAATATTCTCTGAGACGCTCCTTGGCACTGATTTTTCAAATCTTGACCTTCTTATGATGCCTTCTCCTCGTAACCCAAACTTCGATCATACCGGCACGTTGCCTGGGATAACAAACGCCTCTCAGCTTTCAAAGGACCTTCGTCCTACCATCTTCGTCCCTCGCAAGCACGTAAAGACTGACGAGGTTATCAAAGAAGTCAATGATTTCTTCCTCAAAAAATGGCCCTTTAAAACAGAAAAACATCGAAAGCGCTTCATAGAAGAGGGATATGCTTGGTTTGTATGCATTAACTGCCCTATGTCGCTTGACGAGAGAATGCACTGGGGTTGCCGACTACTCACCCTTGGGTTCATGATTGACGACGCCTTTGTCCATCGAGGAGGGGGTTGCGTATAACTCTAGTCTGAAGCATCATTCCTTCCCTCCCATTTGACGCTTGTAATAGGCAGAATAATATGGCAGATCTGGTCGATGTTTCTTCCTGTAACGGTGCAGACCTTTGACGAGAAGCCTAAGAGGTAGGGTGAACAAAGTTATGTTGGTTCTATTGATGAGGGAAAGGGGGGATAGAAGAGCCTGCCGGCTCTGGGGTTCCTAGTGTCTATATAGCATGCCATGCTTATGTAAGGGAACTAGCGGAGGTTCCCATAACACAGGATTATCACCCGCAGCTACACGACAGCCGTAGATAAGAGGGAAGTATACAGCTCCTCCCTGGAAGGTCTCGAGGCTGCTCACGTCACAGACACTGAAGCAGGCAGCCAGTACAGGCTCCCCGTCTCTGTCTTTTGTGTGTATGTGTACATCTGTCCTTACGTAAACCTGTCCCAGGGTATCCCTCCACAACAACATCTCTTCATGATTAGCCCTCCTTTATTGCCGGACCGACTCTGGCAAGTTGCGCTTGCCAAATTTCCATGTGCCATCGACGGTGGTATCGCTGAGGTGAAGGGAGGCAGTTTCGTGGTGTTGTTAACATTCTGGGATTGGCTGAGACCGATACCCCGCGCAATGATCGCAATCCCCGCATCAAGCAGATCCTACGCCTTGCCAGTGCTTATTTCGCCCTACTAGCTACGTCGCATCGTCTTCGACTTATCAACTACAATCTCTGCTACATCCGCAGAGGCACCAAGGGTGATAGTACCACCCTTACTTAGTACCGCTGTCACTGTTCTGAACTTCTTCTTAGGATTGTGAATCTTCTGGCGCTTCTTTGGCCGTAGCCGTTCCAGTTCAGCCTCCAAGGCCTTGATCTTACTGTCCTTTATAATAACTTTGGTCTCCTTAGCCTCGAACGGGTTCGCTATCTTCCTGTACTTCAGGCGGACGCCAGGGGAATTATTCTTGCCGAAATTCACGATCTCGCGGCTCGTAGTAGGGGTCCGTTGGTCCTCTGGTTCAGGAGCTTTCAGGGGTCTCCGGCTCAGGGGTCTTCTGCTTCTCTTCCTGGATCTCTGGGTGCGCTAAGCACTTCCTACGGCTGATTGGATAACATCCAGTCGTTCTGCAGCCAGGGAGGATGTTTGCCTTAGTAAAAGCAGCAGTTCTGGCCTGGCTATAGCACCGAATGAAGTTGATCTTGTCAACAGGCGAGGCATCCGTCAGAGAATTTAGCTGAGAGAGGAATTTCTGGTAGTGAGCCTTCAGGGCGTTATAGGGCCCGTTATCTAGGGGTTGCATGCCGTGACTAGTATGCGCAGGGAAGAAACAAAGCAATATATTGGCGAAATAACAAATGGTCATGAACTCGTCCTCACAACACGCGTTAGCGCTTTTTAAATCGGAAAAAAATGAAGGAAGTCTATATTAAATAAGAAAAAATCATATACATACGGAGGTGTGGCTATTATGGCCATCTAGTATCAAAAGAACAGGCTCATCCTGATCTTCTCCTCGTATCTCGTCTACTTGCGGGATGAAGACATCTTCTAGCCACTGGCAAGCTATGTTATTCGAAGTCCAGCCGTTTTCTGAGCATATATAATGCCAATTGGCGGTCTTTTGAAACTCCTCAATGAATCACTGGGCCTGGAGGTCCTTCCCCTTGAAGATAATACCTGGTTTGAGGATTTTTCCAGTTGCGGAGATGGCCTCGATAAAGGAGGTCCAGCTACGGCCCTGGTGGCTTTTTAGGAAGGCTTTCTTAGTAGTAGAACTACCCAGAACGAGAGAGTCGATGCCTGTAAAACTAATTAGAATTTCTATAGATTTAAAGGGTTAGTTATAGTTACCAAAACCCGCCATGATGCCGCCCTTATCGACATTATACGTGTTTTCTGGCTTGACCCAGCCGTAATCTTTTAGGATTTCGAAGAACCAGTTAACTGCCTTCGGCGTGAAGCCCTTAAAGCGCGCTGATTTCATCCTTTTGCCAACTTTGGTCTTTAGTTGGGGGTTGCGGCGCTTGAAGCCGGTCATGAAGTGGTCTCCAAGGGGGCCTGAATCTCCGTTCTTTTCCAACACCTTCACAATGATCTCACACACCAGGGAGTGCGAAGGGGCTAGTCCTAGCTTCTCCTGACGCAAAATCCAGTTGACTATAGTGCTTTCTTGAGCAGGGGAGAGTCTCTGTTGGTGTATATGGCCTTCGCCTTTTGAGGGCTTGCCGTTAAGTCGGTCAGAGAGCGTTGTGGCAGGGAGGCCGTGTTTTTGAGCGCTTTTTCGCAGCGAGAGGCCCTCATCCGTGATATCTAAGATGGCATTCGCTATCTGATCCTCCGTATACGGTTTGGGAGGCATTTTAGGCGGCTATACAATGTTAGAACAGATGTTTCGAAATTGGTTGAAAGAAACGTTAGAGTCAAGGTAAGAAGTCATCACTTATATCCTCAGGGGTGGTGTCAGCTTCCGGTTCAGTTCATACTTCTATTCTGTCCGGGACAGGCCTGCCTTGCTGGCTAAGAGAACCCATGTGGAACAAAAGGAGTAGAAGTCTTGCGCTGATTCCATCCATAGATCATAGAGCTGATCTCTGGCTTGAACAGCTGCGTCGGGATTGCTGTAAGAGGACCAAAAAAGGTCATACACCTCTTTAATAGTAGTAAGTGACTCAGCGTTCTCTTTAGAGATGAATGGTTCCAATACTATAATTATATCACCTTCTATTAGTGTGCAAAGCCAGTCAAATTTTGATTTTTTTGTAATAAAGAGCCACCAATTGGTCCGTAGCTTGCATTGAGTGCTGTTCTTTTATTATTCAAAGGTGGGTTTTGACTGTCACTCAGCTTTGCAGGGTCTGTCAGCTTGATGGAATGTCGCATGGCATTTGAGGTTGATGTCATAGAAGCTGTGGAGTCCCACTTAGGGGTCGTTATGTATGGAGAACCTGTTTCTAAGGAAGGAAAAGCTCGTTCTTCTTGTGGTGTGCTGAAATGCACAGACTATCGTTCTGTTGTGGGCCTTGGTGGCTCAGACCTCGGGATCCGGGTATGTAGTTCGGTTTGCAGTCTGGCTAGCTGCTCTGGCGTGAGCGCATCCAGATTGAAGAGCAAGGGGTCGTCTGATCGGCCCAGAGCGCCGCTCATGATTGGTGCCATGGGCTGGGTCTGTGGGTCCTGGAATGTGGTCCTGGAGGAAGATGGAGCCGATAAAGAGTTTAAGGGAGATTTGTTGTTGGTCAAAGCGGCCTTTGATCGCGTGTTTGGCTTGCTCTGGCCCCCTTGTGCCTTGATTCTCTGTTTCTTTGGTTCTCTCTTTGGCGGAAGGTTGTTGGTGTTGGGGGATGTTTGGATAGGTTGAGCTGGTCTTCCAGTCCCTTTAGAACTATCCTGATGTTCTGGAATGATAATGGTACTCATCGTCACAGTGTGTTGGACAGAATCAATAGTAATAATAAGTGGGATAATAAAGTCTTGGGATAGGTGGGTGTTTAGAGACACTGCACCTGTCACTGCTAGAGGTAAAACTCTTTATAGTGGTGATTTAAAGACAAGGCTTCTAATATGGTATGGGCTAGTCTTGATATTATGTCACGGCGAGCATACTGGGGAGCTGGGACATGGCCTGCAGCAAGCAGCTATTACTCTATTGATGAGAATATCAAGACTAGAGAGGAAAGGAAGAGAGAGAGAGAGATAGGTACAGTGGGAGGTTGCCCCTTTAAGGGGATCCTCTGGTCAGATCCTTCCCCTATTGTCAGGAAGCATCCCGAGAACAAAGGGATCATACGTGTACATATACATGGCCTTCGCGCCTGATTAGTACTGCACCTCTCTGCAGAACAACATACATCTTACCCCCCCCTATGGTTGGCCTTCTGACAGTTTGTTCTGCCTTTAATCAAAATAACTTCACGATCACCGCTTCAGTTACCGCTTTAGTCCTCACTTGCGCTCTCAGACCTCAGCTCCAGCCTCTCGCCTCCTGAATCCTCTCGCTTATGGGTCGTTGTTATACGAGCCCTGACTTAGTCCTTTGTTCACAGATTTCAGCCTCCAGCCTCAGTCTCAGAATTCTTTGTTCACGAAGGATCGTCAGATCAAGGCCAACCTATTACAGCCAACCACGCCTCTCGCCTCATGATCACAGACCTCACAGACCTCGCAAATCTCAGAGAAATCAAGGAAAATAGTGTTCACTTTGAAACAAGTCGCGCTCGCGGTGTTTACGTTGAGCCCAAGACCGGGCAACGCGTCAAGTCAAGAAACGGTTATATAGAATCCTTCAACCCCTTCCTACATCGGATTCAACCACCCATTCAGGAACTTTGACCCTGACCCTGACCCTGACCCCGACCTCACTTGATCAATCCTCTCTCAACTCATCATGTCTTCATCTGATGGCAATTTCGGTACCGCCAACAACGAGCCACTGAGCATCGAGACTCTATTCGGGGCAAGCTGGCCTGCAGTTCTCCAGGCGTGTTTACAGAACAATTGCGATAGAGACTTTCGACCCTTTCGGACTGCCCTCGCTACCAATCATGGCGCCAACAACCAGGCACAGTTGATCTTCAGCGCCCTGGAAGATGCGCTGAACATCCTGGGGCAGGATGTCAGCGCCCTCCAGGAGCAGGTGAATACAGGAGACGCGCTGAACGCGAACCTTCGGAGCCAGCTCCAGAACGCGCAGGGTCGTGTTGAGGCGTACGAAGGCGGCATCGGGAGCCTCGCCCGGTCCTTTGAGCAGGGCATTCAAGGGTTCACCAGTGCGGCCAGTACCAGAGAACCAACCCAACCATTATCCCTGGTGGCCGACCCCGACAGGTTTAACGGTGACGAAAAGGATGACAAGAAGCGGCGGCGAGAGTTCAGGGCCTGGCAAGGCGGTGCCCGAATAAAGATCAATATGGAGACCAAGAAGTACAATACAGAGTACCACAAGATCATCTACGTATGCTCTCGGCTGAGCGGCAGTGCGAGAATAGCGGTGGATTCATACCTAATGAATATCTACAAGAACCCGGGCAACTCGGCTGCATGGGAGTGGGCAAACTCTGAAGCCCTCTTTGACTGGCTCGAGAGAGCATACGACTCCCACAACCGGTCTGGCAATGCCAGCAGGGAGATGGATGACCTGAAGCAGAAGAACACAGCCTTTAACGTCTTCCTGTCGGAGTTCTTAGCTCTCACAGCCGACCTTGGCCTGGACGACAAGGCGAAGATCGAGAAGCTAAAGAAGAAGGTGAACAACGAACTGCAGTCCGCGGTGATCAGTGTCTTCCCAAAACCCCAGAACGAGGACTTCGATGGATGGGTGGATTGCTACCGTTCTCTGACGGAAAATATCATGGACTACGCGCACTATACAGGCAATAAGAATCCGTTTTTGAACAACCCTTTCAACAAGGACAACAATAAGAACAAGAACGGCAATAACAACCAGAACAATCAGCACGGGAATCACCAGCACGGCCAACAGCCCCCACGACCACATACCCCGGCGCCGGCAGGCGACCCCATAGACCTCGACGCCATCAAGTTCTGACGGCTGTCAGCTACCGAGAGGCAGAAGCGAATAGACCAGGGCCTCTGCCTGTACTGCGGAGAGGGAGGGCACATCAAGTCCGAATGCCCTCAAGCACCGCGGTATCCTCAGACAGGACTGCCAAGGAGGAACAGCGGCTTCAACCTGGAGAGACCAAGATCCGCGCCTGCCGGCGGCAACAACAACCCCTTCAAGCAGCCTCACCAACATGGCCACGCACAAGATCTTCGCTTCCGAACTATCAGCTGGAGGGGGAACGTAGATGATTGGCCTGGATCCGCAGACTCCTCTCAGTGGCCTGCATCGGCAGGATCATCACAAACCTCCTTTGGGCACGACTCTCACGGCGGAAGCAACCACCTGTCTAGAGAGTCAAAAGGGTAGGTCCTGAAGAAAGGCGCCTTCAGGACCTTGACCACGAGGATGTGCCTGATATGGACGTGGTATACCTCAAATCAGCAAACTCAGGCGAAAATTTGCTTCTTTTGCGCGCAACCGTCCGTCAGAGCGGCCGTGGCAAGATAAACGTTGTCACCTTGTTGGATTCGGGGTGTACAGCACTCTCATTCATGGACAACACCTTTGCGCGAGACCACAACTTCAAGATTTTACGCTTACCAAAACGCAAACAGTTGCGCCTTGCCAACAGCGAACGGAAGGGCAATATTACCAAGTTCGTTGCTGTAACGATGGAGGTGGATGGCCACCTGGAGACGATCCTCTGCTTCCTCACTGACCTTAGCAACGAACACCCTTTGATCCTCGGCTTCCCTTGGCTTTGAACACACAACCCGACGATTGACTGGCGAACATGCGAAATCACCTTCTGCTCCGAGTTCTGCAACAAGAATTGCTTCTATATACGACCTGCGCAGGTGCGCGGTGGCTGCAAGGCGCCGAACCCCAGCCCGAAGAGGAGGAAAACAGTCCATTTCGCAGAAACGGTTATGCTACGAGACTGCTCCGTTGATGATCTGAAGATCTCTTTAGCAACAAATTTCGCATAGTTCTGTCGCCAGAAGGGCGTTACAATCTCAAGGATCACTGCTGAACAGCTCGAACAAGCAGGAATGCCAGACCTCGAGCCCCCCGACCTCGCCGAAAGCAAACTCAGACAAATTCTCGCCACCGAAGGCAGCCCCGAAAAACACAAGGCCAAGCTGGATGTCAGATATCACTCCTTCGTCGACAACCTGTTCGCAAACACTTCATCAACAGGGTCACAGACAAGGACATCGACAAGTACCTCAAAGATAAGAAGCCCGCGACGGTTGAAGAGATCAAGAGGAAGCTGCCAGCCGATTACCACGACCTTCTCGATATCTTCCTTCCTTCCAAAGCCACGAAGCTACCTAAACACAAACCATACGGTCACCGAATTGACATCGAACCCGGCAAATACATCCCTAGCTCCAAGACACGTCCCATGTCTCAATCCGAACTCCGGGTTGTCAAGAAATACCTGGACGATAACATGCAGATGGGCTTCATTCGGCCCTCTCGATCAAGATCAGCGGCACCACTGCTACTGGCGCGGAAGCCGGGCGGCGGCGTGCGAGTCTGTGTCGACTACCGAGGCCTGAACAACGTTACGATCAAGAATAGATACCCCCTCCCTCTCATCCGCGAGACCCTTGACGCATTGTGTACATTCAAGGTCTTCTCTAAGCTGGATGTCATTGCCGCGTTCAACAGGATACGAATCGCGGAAAGAAACGAGTGGAAGACGGCGTTTACAATAAGATTCGGGCTCTACAAGACCCTCGTTACACCTTTCGGCTTGTGCAACGCACCTTCGACCTTCCAGCACTACATCAATGACACTCTGTACGATTTTCTCGACCGGTTTGCTTCAGCCTACCTTGATGACATCCTTATCTACTCCAAGAACCTGAAAGAACACAAGGAACACGTCCGCAAGGTGTTGGAGGCACTGAGAGAGGCCGGCCTCCAGGTTGACATCGACAAGTGCGACTTCCACACCACGAAAACCAAGTATCTCGGTCTCATCATCTCAACCACCGGCATCAGCATGGACCCAGACAAGGTAGAAGCACTGTTGGACTGGCAGAGCCCCCGTAACGTCTGGGAACTCCAGAGGTTCTTAGGTTTTGCAAACTTCTACTGAAGGTTTATTTGTGGATTTTCATCGATCGCGAAGCCACTCACAGTCCTCCTCAAGATGTCGGAACGCTAGGACTGGACTCATCATTGCAAACACGCGTTCCAGATCCTCAAGGAATCATTCACGCGTGCCCCAGTACTCTCATACTTCAACCTGGCGAGACGAACGGTCGTTGAGACGGATGCCACCGACTGGGCGATTGGAGGAGTAATATCCCAATACGATGACGATGGGGAGTTACACCCTGTTGGGTACTACTCGTCCAAACACACACCGGCGGAGGCAAATTACGAGATATACGACAAGGAGCTGCTCGCGATTATAAAGTCCCTTGAGGAGTGGCACCCGGAGCTTCAGGGGTCTGACGAGCCGTTCGAGATCATCACGGACCATCAGAACCTGCGGTACTTCATGAGCACCAAGCTCCTGACACAGAGACAGGCACGTTGGGCGGAGTTCCTCAGCCAATTCAACTTCCAGATTGTCTATAGGAGCGGCAAACAGTCGGTCAAACCAGATGCCTTCAGCCGGAGGCCAGGGGACAATCCATCTTCGAAGCTTGATATCACGGATTCACGAGTTGCTGCTAGACAACAGACGGTCCTTCCAGAGTCGCGAATATCGCCAGGGATGGCTCCAGAGTTACTTGATAATCCTGACGACCTCAGACTTTACGCTGTGGATACCTCCGAAGACCTTGACGACCTCATCGATGCAGCGTACAATACTGATCCGATGGCAAAAAAGGTGGTGAAAGCCTTGCTAATCCAAAGTTTGTGGCCAAAGACCGTGAAGCGTTTCATGCGAGTATCTTTTGGTGACTGCGAATTGCGGGATGGCCGTGTTTTCTACCATAACAAGCTATTTATCCCCGCAAACGATCACCTCCGCTCCCAGATCGAATATTGTACACACGCGCTCCCTGCCAGTGATCATCAAGGCGAAGCCAAGACGGCAGAACTGATCAAAAGGCACTACTGGTGGCCAGGGTTGTACAGAGAGATTGGAGGTTTCGTCGGGGCCTGCCACACTTGCAGAAGAGCAAAGGGACTGAAGGAGAGCCTCCAGGGCCTTTTACACTCTTTAACTGTGCCTTTCAGACCCTGGGCCAGTATCTCAGTCGATTATATCACCGGATTGCCCGAATGCTCAAGACATGGAGTCGTCTACAAACACATCTTCGTGGTAATCGACCGGCTAACAAAGATGCGGCACTTCGTACCGGTTGATAAATTAGACGTTCCTACGATGGTAGATGCGTTTATCCATAGAGTATTTTCACTCCACGGCGCCCCCGAATTCATTACCTCGGACAAAGGGTCTCAGTTCGCTTCACAGTTCTGACAACGATTAGCAGAACGCCTGGGATCCAGGCTCAAGCCCTCGTCTGCGTATCACTCTTTGACGAATGGGCAGACGGAGATCATGAACGCCGTATTGGAGCAGTACCTTCGCATCTATATATCGCTAAATTAGGACGATTAGGTTGATCACCTGCCCCTTGCAGAGTTTGCCTCTAACAACGCCGTCTCCAGTACCACGAAGTTCTCATCGTTCTTTGCTAACTATGGTTGGAATCCGCGCCTAGAGATCGAGCCACCTTCACCAAGACCGCCAAACCTGTCAAAAGATGAGGCACGAGAATGGGACAAGGCTGACAAGCACGCTGAGCTGATGAAAGACTTTCTCAACCAGCTCCGGCACAATATGGCACGAGCATAGGAAGACCACGAGCTATACGCGAACACCAGGAGAGGCGATGCCCCCAAGTACAAAATCGGAGACTTGGTCTGGCTAAGCTCTGAGAATATCGTCACTCAGCGGCCCTCCAAGAAGCTTAGCGATAAATGGCTTGGCCCTTTCGCCGTATCACGAACATACAAAAGAGCATGCGCTCTCGAGCTTGACAGACGGTTCAATGGCATCTTCCCTGTTTTTCACCACTCGTTGTTGCGACCAGTTGAGGAACCAAGGACAAGGGAGCAGGCCGAGATCAATAAGGACTCTCAAGACGACCAGGAGGGCCTTATCATTGTTCTGGATAAACGAGGCCGCATGCAGAGGAAGTGGATATTCGATAAAGTTACCAATAGCCGTATGCACCAGAAGGAGGGGCTGCAGTATTACGTCGAGTGGCAGGATGGCACAGCATCGTGGCAGCCTGCTCGCAACCTCCAGGGTTGTCACTGGATACTGTACGAGTTTCACCGAAATAACAAAGGTAAACCAGGACCTCCAGGGTGGTATCGCAAGAAGGAAGCCCTAGAGTAGAGGGATTGGCACGAAAGAAGGGCAGAGAGTGAATCAGAGTCAAGTGACAGCGATTCAGAGGAATCAGGTGAAAACTTCGGAGAGAGCGACGATAACACTGATTTTGATCTCTGAATCGCCTCATTTACGGTCAAATAAGGTTTTGGAAGAGGGGAGTACTGTCAGGAAGCATCCCGAGAACAAAGGGATCATACGTGTACATATACATGGCCTTCGCGCCTGATTAGTACTGCACCTCTCTGCAGAACAACATACATCTTACCCCCCCCTATGGTTGGCCTTCTGACACCTATTGGGAAGTATCCGCTTGTCATGTGGGAAGGTCTGTGCAGGCCGTCACAAAAGCGCTGGCGGCAATGTCATAATATCCAGTAACGGGCTTTCCAGTAAGGTCAATTGTCGGGGGAGCCTGGCCATTGGCAGGCTTCCTTTTCTTATTCCGCTGGTTGAGATTGAAAGGGGTAATAGGCTCAGGTTCTCGGGTGAGCTGAGCAATGTCGGCTGCGACTCTGATAGATCGCTGGGGGGTTATAAGGGCCGCTATTGTCGAGTGCTGGTTTCGTCCCCTTTGTAGGGAGCGAGGCGGATCTCGAGATTTTGTCTTTAGTGTTTATATTCAAAATAATGGCGCAATGCCAAGTGTTAAGAATTTTGCTGTGATGTGCGCAGATGTACTAACAAGTGCAAGCGCACGGATGATTTTTACCAGGAAAGGTGAGTTACTTGTTGTGGAATTCCAGGGGTCAGAATGGGATGGATAATGGTCTGTGTCTTGACTATGGATCCATGGGGAGGTTCCCACCTAAATACAGGTGTGACAGCCCTTTGATGCCCTGCTGCCTGACAGCGAACAACAAACCTGCCACTGGTGTTGAATACAGCGGTCAGATGTATTGTGAATTATGTTGTTGTGATGAGCAAGTTCTGCTTGTCTATCTGGTTCTAGCACTAATTTCGCTGTGTGCGCTAGTCCCATGCTAGGACCAGCTCACCCACGTGACATGGCTAGTACTAGACGTGGCCAGAGCGGCACGCTGGTATCTGACAACTGGTCACCATAATGGACCTTTCACCCCCTTTGGGCCCCTTTCATCCCTTTCACCTGGCGGACAGCTGCAGCCCATACCTGACAGCACCACAATGCTCACACTTGTTTATTTACAGCCCGCACCGACCTTTACAACCACCTCGGCAACCGCTTGAAAGCAGCAAGGTTTTGCGGCAATCCCCGGCTACTAGCTGGTGGCATACAAGCCCTCCCTTTTTCATCGCGGACCTACTTCTAACTTCGAAAGGCGGTGTTGGCCCCCCAGGCAATTGTAGGCGTAGGAGGTCAACCCGGTGTGAGGTGCACTACTTCCCTATTGCTAGCAGATTACACGCGCCAATGTCTTACCGTTGTAGTATTCGAAGCTTCTTTAGATCAACATTATGGAGAAATGCTCGTCTTACCTAGTCATAGGCCATCCTAATAAGGTATCAACAGTATGAAACATTGGATGCACTCCAGGCCGGACGATGATCGCAATCATAGTTCACGTCAGACCTGTGAAACTTGCGCAGATTGGACACCTCATGGATCAAGGCCCTTTCCATTGTGTACGAACAGATTACGAAACAATTAAGCACTTCCCAAAGAGGTCATCCACGAAGCTCGCCTGCGATTCTGCCTGGTTGGCCATTCCCACGACAGACTCCCGATATTGTCACTATTTCGCGAGCGAACTGCTCGCTAGCCATTCCCCTCGTTCCGGATAGACTGGATTCTTCTGGGTGCGACAGATCGAATAGAGTATTCATATTTGCCATAGATGTCGCACGGCAATGCAGGGGCTTCTTCTTGTGCTCGTTCTCCTTCGACGAAGTGGTCGATCAAGACCGCTCTGTGCGGTGACACTAAACAACACGGTCAAGGGCATTAAATCCATCGGCCATGGCATACGTGAATCCGATCTCACGGAGACTTTAGACTTCACTAACAAGGAGTTTGAGCTCATCAGAGATAATGAAATCCTCGTCTGGTATTCTAAGCAGCAAGCCATCGTGCCAGGGAATGCCCCATCGCAATGGTACACCAGACCACTGGAGCACCGCGGTAGCGGCAAGGTGAAGCTGTATGATATCTGTTCACGGGCAATCATGGTCACCATATCTTGACCCATCTTTCCAGGGTCCACTGCGGCGGAGATCTTGAAGGCACACACGGTCATCGGTAGCGAAGCTACGACAACTCTTGGAAACGAACGCGGAGCCGGGGTGAGCCGACCATCAATGGTATCAGCTAAGACGACCGCTCTTTACTGGCTACAAGACGGAAGAAGTGTGAACGCGGTGCATCATGTTAGGTAGTTGTTGTCAAATGCTTCATACCACCATCAGCGTTTCATTAGTATCAACTTGGAAGCCTTTTGCTGTACCTAACCATACAGATCCAAATATGCCATCCTCAATCCTCGGACTCATCTTCGATCCCCCATAAGGTCACCGAACTGAGACTCCATCTATTTCTTCAGCGCAGCCTTGGCCAAGTCGGCTAGAGCATCCCGGCGCTTGAACTTGGCATCCTGGATGACACCTGACATGACATCAGCATACTGGATTATGGCAAGTGGCGGGGAAGGAATGCCAAAGGTGGGCAGGTGCGCTGCAAAGATACATACCCGCATCGGCGTCGCTGGAGAAGTTGCCCGTCCACTCGACAAAGGCGCTGCCCTCGAGCTCGCCCGAGGTGATGGCGTAGCAGCGGATGGTGGACAGGACCGAGGTGTAGGTGAGCTCGGGCTTGGCGGTAATAACACTGTAGGTGATGTAGTGGTTGATGGTCTGCCGAGATGTCAGTAACATGCACAGTCCAAGGAGATATCATTCGAGGAATGGGTCCCATACGCTGTGTTCCTCCTGCTTCACCTCGACCTCACTGCCATCATTGAAGATCCACTGCACAACATCGGTGTCGTCACTAGTGCCCTTGACGAACTGGCTGGACTTCAGGGCGGACCAGAAGTCGCTGAAGTTCTGGACTGGAGGTAAGAGTGTCAGAATAGTCCAGCATCCTCATTACGCAGCTCGTTTGACCTACGCTTGATGTGGTGCCACACATGGCTGAGCGGGGCCTCGATGACGGCGGATTCAACGACGGAGGTGGAGGTGGGGATCGACATGATTGCTTCTCTGTTGCTGTTCTCTGGTCGCGTGGTGTTTGATTCTGGGGAAGTGTGATGTTGAGGTCTGGCTGTCTACAACGGGGAGGGGGAATGCAGATGTGTATTTCTGATATTCACTCTTCAAAAGGATGGACATGAGAGTTTGAGACCTCCTCTGATTGCACATGCATAAGGTACAAACGGAGTGGAAACGTCATTTGTGAGGGGCAACCCCTTTGGGATGGAAGGTGGGAAGGTCCAGAGCGGGGCCCGTCCTAGGCAACTGCCCCCACCACTAACTACATATTTCCTTAACGGGCATTTTCCTCAGAGAGAATATCGCACAGCTCAATCAGCAGGTGACCTTGTCACGTCCACCACCAATCGCAAGTCTTGATCAGGGACATGGCGACCGTGGGAGGATGACCGCCCACAATATGAAACGGTTAGTGTGTAGGGGACCTCTCACTTCCTCACCTACACTACGATCTGTGCGAGAGACGTCTGAATCGTATGGAAGCTTACATATACGGGACCTCTCTGTTTATGCCAAGGTCTTCAACATGCTTCTGAGTCTATATTTCTGTTGGGATGCTACGTATAGGGTGACCCAACGCCTGTTAGGTTCGACCCCTTTTTGGCAGCGTTTTCTATTCCCACCTCGATGTCTACAGCCTCCATCAGGCCAGCGGATAGCAGACCAGCTGCAGGCTGCGGCAAGTCTCGGCTACCTCTCGGAAGAATGCCCCAGGTGGTGGCTGAGGGGGCAAGGCCGATTGCAGCTTCTGTGTTGCACGACATGGGCGTACCACGGGGAGACCAAATGCAAAAATTACATAAAGACCAGTCAGCCCTTCGCCTCATTCACGGATGTTTGCCTACTCCATGTTCCGCCAAAACTACTCACTATGTCGTTTGGCTACTCCGTTGGGGACTTCCTTGGAGGAGCTAACCTTACATATCGATTGATCAGAGCCCTTTCAGACTCGCGAGGTGCTTCTGCCGAGTACCAAGAGGCAGTGACCGAGCTGAGGGCTACGGAGCAGGCCTTCATGCAGGCTGGCAATCTCGCAAGGAGCAACATGTTCACTCAGGATGTCATGAACGGAATCGCCTGTATCGTTCTTTCATCGGTAGAAATCATTGAGAGCTTCTTCGAGCATACCCGAGCCTTGCAGAGCCGTTTGGGCCAGGGTCGTCGCAGTATTAATAGCAGCTGGTCTAAAATCGGCTGGCAGCTTTTTGGTAGAGACGAGCTACTAGTGTTGAAGAGACAACTGCATGAGCGGTTGACTTCAGTTAACACCCTCATAGCAGCTGCGTCTTAGTAAGTACCCATTCTCTGCGATGCGACATTTGTACAGGAGGGAACTGACAGTTGAGTAATAGTCAGATCAACACGCCGTCGAATGTCACGCAATATTAACTCAAAGCCGCCGAGACCGGCGCGGACGGCCACGAGAGCGATCAAATCGGGCCAAGCTACTCCGCGCCTGGGCCATCGGAGCGGCAGAAGGGGCGGCCATTGACCCCTGAAGTCACACCCGTCATAGACCTCGAACGAGCTGCAAGTACAAACGAGGTGGAAGTGAAGTCCCGCGAGGATTTGGAGCAGGAACTACGGTCCAAGATTAATGCCGAGAATGCTGCAGCTACAGCTGCAGCACAGGCTACTGCCGTCGATACGGATATCAAGGAAAACATGATGATCATCAAGCAGATGATGACAGCACTGAACGAGAAGGAAGTCAGGAAAGAGCTTGACGCAACTAAGGCTAAAGCGCCTCTCAGGTTCAAGGATGCAGTCGGCCGAAAATATAGCTTCCCCTGGCACATATGCCACGTCTGGAAGGTACGTTGGAACTGAATATTTGCTTTGAAGTTACCGGGCTCATGCTTTGCACCAAGGGAATGGAAGACCTGATAAAGCACGTTTCTTCATGTGGACATTATTGGACCGCATGTCCAAGCTGGGCACTACCATCTCATTGGACCCAATGGGGAGATCATTATTCCTCAAGTTTGGGAGAAGGTAGTCCAGCCTGGCTGGGCTATTACCATGCACATGTGGCTCATGGACCGACCTCCACTCACCCATCGGCTTCCTGTGGATCGCCCTCCCACGCATCGACCTGCCAAACATGGACCTCCGATAAATCGACCTCCTCAGGGACGGCACAACTTTGGTCGCCCTGCAGAGCCTGGTCCCACGGCTGCTGTGCCTTCAAACAGTACTCGGCCACTGCCTCCATCTCGTCTTCCTCATCACCACTCTACGAGTGGTTCACAAGGCTACCCAAGGCCTGAAGGCTTGAGAATTGTGCGCGGAGGGGGACCCCTATCACCACCGCCGCCATATATTGACAGTTCCCAAAACCCGGCTGCTCCTTTTATAAGCAACTCGCAGGACACGAGAGAGCACAAGGCTTCATCACCGTTTAAGGACGGTGTCCCATCGGGGTTGAATCAGTATATAGAGCCCTCGGCACAACCATCCCAGTTTCAAACCCAGCAACGTTCGCTTCCTCAAGGAACGGATCTACCTGCGTTCTGGAAGCTCGATCAGTTCGAACCGAACTGGCGGAGCAAATACAGCGCCTTAATAGCTCAGAATGGTCTCACCGATGGCTTCATCCGAGAAAACCAAGAAGGGATTATGAAATTTCTGTTGGAGTGGAATGCCGTAGCGGAGCCTCGGGACGACCAGAGCGACACGACTGGGTCCCATACATATGCTAACTCGGATGCGTCAGGTGTGTGAGGTATGGAAGCAGTGTGAAGCCGCCAGGTAGAAGGGACATCCGGCGAAAGTGGTCTCGTGGTAACGTGAGATATTCTCGTAGAGGTCGCCGCGGTTCGAGGAAGGATCAGAGTGAATGGGAGTCGGAGGAAGAAGAGCAACTGCAGCCAGAGACTTCAGGTTAAACGCCGAGGCGACCTAATTTACGGGTGGTGGCCAAACTACAACTTCAGGCAACTATAACAGAGGACCATTCATTAACAAACTTCGTGGCCCATATCTTTCCAATGAGACAATTTACTGGCGGTTCAAGCAAGGGAATGATTGGACTGCTTTTTGATTCACATGCTATGCACAATAACTAGATTTCATTGCCCACGTCCCGTTGCTTTTTTTCAACTTGGTAAATACTTTGTCGGGTATGAAACACTCCAGTCTGTTTGGGTTTGTGTTTCTGCATAGCAAGGTGTTACGGTATTACATAATACCTCCACATATTTATGTACATATATACCTCTAGCTTCCCCTTTCTCTTCTGACCTTGCCTCTTCTTCCTTAGATATCGTTGAATCTAGATATTTCATCCTATCAGCCCTGACCAGCGCAGCTGCAGGCCTGATTGTCACACAAGGAAGCCGACTGATGGTTATCACGGCGTTGAGGCTGGCCATGTGACCCTGCGTCACAGTTGGGACAAAGTCTGGATGAGGGACTATCACTAAGTCGCCAAAAGGGTGCCTTATACGTGTAAACAAGGTAGGCTGGGGCGTGGAGCCACCATATCATATCAGTCAAGCGACAAGGCACGCCAGGAACATCACGATAGTAGTACTCTGTCGAACCATGGCCCTGGAAACTCATCACACTTTGTTCCCTGGCGTACCAGAATGAAACCAGTGACTCAAGGTCCTCCATTCATAAGTTTGACATGCACGAAACATGGACATACACAGGAGCGGAGAAATCAAGACTTGTTGCATTATGGGCTACGTTAGCCCATCCACAGTCATCGTTCAGGATCACCATCCCCATTTGTGACTCTGTCACATATGTGGCCAATATAAGGCCACGTATCCTTTCCTTTACTTTCTTGCATATATATAGGGCCATTCTGGCCGCTCCAGAGTAGCTCGAATTCCTCTCCTTAATAGAACACTTTGAAATCTCACAAGACTATGTAAGAACAGCAAGCAAATCGCGCTCTTGAACAAGCGTGCGGAGGCATGGAGGATAAATACGTAAGAGCTTACTAAACTTCTAGTCACTATAGATTGATTGATTGATTGATTGATTGTATTTAACGTGGGGGATCGCTCCTCAGTAGTGCAAACCACGCCTCCCAGAGCCTCTGCATCGCAGGGGTTCTAGTCACTATAGTTTCAGTAGTTCCCTCATCGAGAGACCAGGCTCCCATACAAGAGTAACGAACGAAATAGCGGCGCCAATGAACACATCATTCGTCACACCCGATGTGTTTTCTGTCTTGTATAGAAATGAGCATTGGTACAGGTTTTTGTGGCCAAGCCAAACTCACTTACCGTCACTATGGGATTATATGTATTGTTATACCTGCTCTCTGATTTCATGTCGATGGGATGTCGTTCGCAGCCGGTGGTTGGTCATGGTGCTGGAGGGGAACCAAAGTATTTACGAGCGAACATATATACATATCTTAAAAGATTGGGAATGTCCTAGAGAAGTTACCGTATCCTACTGATACATAGGCTTGTTTACGTGGAAACGACAGGCTTGGCGGACGCGTTGCTGGTCTATTTTCGGATCACCCATTCGCATCACCCAGCAACGCAAGCGCGGATACTAAGGTAGATTCTCAGCACCTGGACTCTACCAGAGCTACCCATTTCTGGAGGTCCTCTTGCATGTTTACACGCGACATCAAACAGCTCCTACGCGTCAACTCGCGTTGTGCCAACACCACAGCCAACTTCTCCACCCACTGTTGAAATCAATCTCCTCTCGTAGCGTATACGTGCCCACTCGAACGCGGCGCCGAACGCGACGCCTAGCGAGACTTGATCTCTTGTATCGCGTTTCTCAGCTGGCCAACTCGACTGTTCAGGCCACATTGCTGCTGCGAGCCGAGGCTACTTTTGCGCTACACCTTACGTTTCCAGAGCCTGGGAAAGTTGCCACAACACGACGGTAACCAAAGACTAAAGCGCCTCTTTCGGAGATCGATTCGGGCACTCGCTGACCATTGTAACAGGGCGTAAGCACCCTCTTCATCGAATCGACAGATTAGGCACCGCCATGGATATTGGCACCAATCATGTTATCCCGGTGCGCGTCCCACGACCGATACGTGAGGAGACCGAGAAGCCGCCTTCACACCTTCAGCAGATACTGGGTACCCTCAGACCGTCCAAACCAGTGGCGCGAGTCGTACCACAGACGGGAAAGTGGTACATGACGACCACACATAATGGCGATGTATCTGTCCAAACTGTCCCTGGTCAACGTCTGGAACCCAACAATGAGCCCACGATACCATAGGCCAGCCATGGCTTCTGTCAGACCTGCCACGAACAATTCTTCCCAGCCTCCCATCTCATCCTCGACCCGGAAGCCAGGTCAATTGCAGAATCCTTCGCGAAGAACATCACTCAGAACCGGATCCATTTGTCGGCGACGATAGAGGACCATGGCAATCAAATCTACAGAAAGTGGAAGAACTTTGGCGCCAAAAAGCGACACGACGCGTTGAACCACGTAACCGAATTGATCGAAAAGGACTCGGGGTTCATCGTTTTGCCGACTTCGAGCAGACCAAAGGCGAGCACTGGCTCAGGCTGCTTATCACCCGCCTCGCAGCATTTCATCACGCCCGTGTGTCCTATCAAATACGTAGCATTCGTCGACAGCTGGTTCATGCCGCGCATGAATAAGGAAGATCTTTCGACCGACCCATCGTGGCTCGCCGTGAGCGTGCAACAAGCCATAAATGCAAATGCATTCAGTCTGCCGAGCCAGCACGCAGAGACTGTGAGGCTGCTTGAGGCACACGACGTCCTTCCGGCATTGTACAACCCGAACGGTATAAGCTTTTGTTGCGTGGTCACGTGACCCACTTGGGTTGGCATATTGCCCACATCCACTGCAGCTGCGCACCACCTCCAGGCCTCAACAGCAACAACACCAATACAGCAGATATGCAACCTTTTGGCCTTCTTGCTGTGCAACAGCTTTGAAGATGCCAAATTTGGAGAGCTTGTACCATGGAGTCGCGACGATGCTCACACTCAGAAGGCGGTAGGATTCACCAGAGCTCATCTTATCCTAGTTGCGGAAGACAGATGCCTTGCCTGCTTCGCCGAATCGTATGCTTCATTGTCGATGACCTGCGAAGCTCGTTGGTTCGTAGTCAACCGACAAGCAGGAAACTTCACGGGTTAAAGAGGCAGGAGAAGTTTGCGATTGACATTTCGCGTGAGGGTCATAATGAATGGGACGCAAGAGTACATGATACAGTTGAACGTGATCCGTTCGAGACGCGAAGTGACCCCGATGTCGAGAAGGTGGTCAGCCTTTTGCAGGATTGCTACGACCAAGCGTACGACTACCTGGGCCTCCTGCAAACGGATCCTCGATTCATGCAGTACGAATGCAAGAAGATCATACAGAGCCCGGTGATCAAGCGACTGCCCTTCGGAAAGCAGTGCGGCATCGCATTGGACGAGATTTTCATTGCGCCGTTACGATATGAGCTCTATTGGAACGAGTTGGTCTCACAGGCCACCGACTCGGCCGGAATGTGGAAGCTGTCCCTCGGGACGACAAATCCCGTCTGCCATGCACTATCAAATCACATGAGTAGCAGATTAAGAGACCTTATGGATCTGATCCTTGCCACGATGATTTGTGAGCTCCGAGCCATGCTGCCATTTAAGAAGGCTTTCGAGGAGCATTTCGACATCAAAATGACATCCGGGGGACAAATGAGAATCCTCAAAGCTACCTCGGGTGTCTATCGCGAGTCTAGTGACAATCTTTTCTGGGCGCTACACTAGATGTGTGCGGATCCAAAAAGAACTATCAATGGGCAGCCGAGAGATTACCTCAAAATCATCACGAGATCGATGGACAACCTATCTGGAGGTCTGTGTCGAATAATAGACGACATCATTGTTTTGGACGTGGTTCGCAATCTGGTCTTGAGCCAGATAAGAAAGCAAAGCCCCCATCAACATCAACAAGTCGTCTTCGACCCCTACGCCCAGTCGCTCCATGACAACATCGGTAGAGACTATTACAAGGCGGTCACCGCTTGCCCACACGACGAGCTTCATGAATCCCTTGCCACGACTGCGGATCTCATTGGTGGTTTCCTCAAACATACCCCGTGGCCCACAGGCAAGAGGGATGACGCCTGGCGCAAGGCGGCGGATCTCTCTCAAAGCGCTTTGATGGTCATGTGGACCGAGGTCTGCAGTGAGATTCAACTCAGGATGCAGCAAGCAGGGAGTGTCGAAGACATATCTCTCGTCACGAACCAAACTCCAAGTGTCGACGAAAAACCACCCTTCCCCACTGCCGCCGAGTCCCGAACTTGTGGCCGCACTGACAGAGGAACCAATCCTGCAAGAACCACAAGCACACATAGAGGGTGGATATGCCGGACAGACCTGCGGGCGAGCTGTCCTCTTGAACCATGAGGTTCGAGTAAAGTTTGTTTGTTTGTTTGTTTGTTTTGTATTTAACGGCTAAGTTCGAGTAAAGGAGAAGACTCGCGGCCAGGGCAAAACTATAAGCGAGTCGGATGAGGTCGAGGGAGGAGCACAACAGAAAGCCTTGCCTGACATCTCATTGAAGGAGGTAAACTTGATTCTGGTACGGCAGCTTCTTGGTGCGCATGATCACCCAGAGCGCAAGCGAGGTTGTCGCTGGACTGACTTTCTTGACTTGATGGCCGACGCGGGATTCAGCATCACGCCCGTAGGCGGCTCCTGTTACCGGTTCGTCAACATCAATGATGGGGGCTCCATCCGATTCGATCGCCCGCATCCAGGCTGCGCAGTGGAGCCTGTGCTGCTGAGTTCGTTCGGCTACCGAATGAAGAAGCGGTTTGCATGGGAATTTGAAAGGTTCGGATGCAGAGAAGGGAAGAGCCAGAGTCGAGCTTTTCCTAGCAAGCTCTAGCGAACATGACAAGCCCAACGAGGACGAAGAAAGTTTTGCGCTAAAAATTTCCAGCGTCTGTGGTTCACACACGGCATCACATCTCCTCTGCAGGACCCGGCGCACCTTCATGTTAGGAAAGTTGGCATACCAGCTATGTCATCCACGTCCATTGCCCGTGGTGGTACTGCAAAACGACTTCAATTCTCTCCACAATGGAACGCCCCGGCCTCCTGAATATATACCAGTCACGGGATCATTCAAAACTGGCTCAGTTTTTGTTCATACGTGGTCGAACGTCGCCTCAATGTCGGAGACCCCGTTCGCAACAGTTTTGCTTGTCTTGTTGATTGCAAGCCTTCTACAATGGTATCACTCGTCAGCCATTCGGAGTGGTGGTACCTCTCATCTCCATAGAGAGGCTTCAGGTATGAGTGCAAGCGCCATCTCCAACAGGGGCTACTCAAGCCCAAACATCAGGGCAAAACAACCATGCTGGATTTGCCACATCGCCACTAAGAAGTGAGCCGAGGCAGCTAGACCTAGTGATAAGTTATAGGTGCGGCAGCTGCGCTAGGTACTTTGTAAAAAATAGAAAACCAATGGAATTATGGTCAAGATGACAATGGATGGCGCACTGCTGTCTTCTTCTCGGCCAGTCAATCCTGTAAGTCAGAACAAACTATTGGAGACAGGGTTTTCTCCGAAATCACACTTAATTGGCCCAGACTTCCGAAACCCTTTCTCCGTATCTTTCGCCCGAACCTCACGCATTCTTCCGACATACCGCCAATACGACAGCACTCCAGGTTCCACCTGGAAGCCCACAGCCAAATACGCAAATGCTGAGCAAAGCGCAAGAAGTGGCAACACGGCTGGGTTACTATCGAGTTGACATGAGCAACGGCGAGGGTGCATAGTGGCCCTCCATTCCATGGAAAGTGCCAGTAGGAGGGATGCGACGTGTGTTAGCTTTAATAATGAGTTCTCTTATTTGCACCTTACCAAGATCCCTTATTTGTACCTTACTTTAGTCTGCAACCTGACAGCCACCTGACAGCGGGCTGACCACCAAGCTTACCACCAACAGATCTAACCCAGCTTCTAGGGACATGATGATCCGAAATCGTATAGCATTTCCTTACGAAACCTGATGGTAATAGCCGTTTAATTCGGCTTCGATTGAATGCGACCGATAGCTACGTATTTCGTTACGATGGACATGATGATCTAGAATCATATGGCATTACCACACGAAAGCCGATCGTGACTACCATCCAGTTCGGCTAAGCTATCCATTTAACTGCGATTAACGTGTCTAGCTAGGACGGACATTACGATCTAGAATTAAGTGGCATCTCTATATAAAACCTGATCATGGTGGCCATCTAGCCTGGCAGATGGGCTGCAGCTGGCTAGCAGGTGGGTGACCCTACTAAGGTGCAAATAAGGGATCTTGGTAAGGTGCAAATAGGAGAACTCTTAATGGAGGCAGCGTAAATAGGAGAATTTGAAATATCGTCCAATTACACAACCTTCGTAGGTACTTGAAATCATATATTGCTCGCAACGTAGGCTGATAGTAGGCGTGTAGAGGAAATGACTGTGCTCATGAGACTGGCTGGAATGTCCAGCAACTCAACGTTCAATGTGAAAGTCGATCTATATGTCGATTGATCTCGAGGTTCATGGAGAATGGGCCACGTAGAGAGAATCTGCGCGAAGTCGGTGCAAGGGCAGAAAGAGGCAAATTGGGTGTAAGAATGAGTGGAGTGTGGTGGTACTACACAGCTGGAGTTGTCAGGTAGCTATAGCGCTCACCAACAATGAAGCTGTCACACATCTAACTGCCCTCACTTTTGGAGGCCCCGTTCTTGGAACTGTCCCCTCCATCCGAACGGCCCTTTTCGTCGGAGTCATCTTCCCGGCTGGATCTATCCTTCTGCCCAGCCCTCTTCATGTGATCAAGCTTGTCCTTGAGCACAGCAAAGTCCCTCTTAGTCTCGAAGAACGCGACCTGAATGGAGCGCGTCCCATCCCAGTAAATGGGCAGGATGCCTTTCCATCCGCAAACAAAAATCGCTCCCCATCTTGCGCCATGTCTCCGGGCCAACTCCTCAAAGATTGGCATGACAGCTTCTGCGAGTTGATGCGCGCGGTGTGCTTCTTCGAACGCCAAGTCCTCCGATACACTCCTGAGCGCCAGCTGGCAAAACAGAAATGGGCGGCTTTGGTCGTCGGGGTCTGGCGTCGTGAGAACGCGGGTCCTGACTTGCGGCTTCCACGCGGCGGCGGATGTCATGGGCAGCTTGCCGTGGTCGGTAATTGTGTTTTCCGTCCAGACCTCTCCCATGAACCAGGCTGCGCGTTTGCAGAAAACTTCCCACCCGTGCTCGGTACCGGCTTGATACAAGATGTCGTCGAATACAGCCTTCACAGCTGCTGCAGATCTTTCCCGGTTGGCCCGATGAGGATCGATGATAAGACCAATTGATACAATGATTGGCCCTAATAGCTTTCCGGCTTGGAGAACTGCGGGCTTTCGGGGTACTGATCGCTTCGGTTGGTGGCGGAAGAATGGGCGAGCAAATCGTGCGAGTGCCGTCCATTGTAATGTAATGCGTTGGACGGCTTAGTGAGATCGGTCCGAACCCTCGCATACATGCGCCGCAGCGACACAAACGCTCTAAATCTCGTCGACATCCGGTGCATTATCGTCCGCTGGAAACCGTCAAAAAATTTGACGCGTCGCGTCTCTGGAACTCATGCAGCTGAAGTGCCCCAGCACCAGCTGCCCCGGCAGTCTGGTCGAAATGATTTCTAGGCCCGTGCTTGGGGCGTGGCACGCCATGCCGTGCTTTGCTTTTCCTACCAACAAAAAGCAAAATCCCGATTGTAAGACATGTGTCCGAACTACACTGCAGGATAAGGCATATTTGACATGTTCGTCGCTTAGCTTCTGCTCTGCTCGGGGTGCTGAGCTGAAGAATCCGCAGTAGCCCGACAGGCAGTAGCTGCAGAGGTGATAGCCCTGCTGCATGTCACAAAAACCCGAGCAACCGCAGACATCGCGGTGATTGCATGGAAAGCTCATGGTGAAATTCTGATAGAATCGAGCACTTGATTGAAAATCGAGTCATAAAGGTGCAATTGAATCGGAGTCGATTGGACAGATCGCGGCACCACGCGGGGGTAGTTGCAACTTGCAAGATAGAAGTTGAGTTGTTCCGCGATAGCCCTATACCGGTAGGCTATCGCACTCACTCAGACGCGTCAGCTGATCCCTGCCCGTGACTCGAGCATGGGGTTGACCCGGGTCGCGATCCCGTATTGCCGCTGTCAAACCAAACGTCGACAGCGGAGGGATCGCCATTGGTGCGAATACTTGGACAGGGTCAGCAGTGGGGACAGCCATCAACCTCAAACCCAGGCCGTGGACCACGGCGATACTGCTGCGAGGTTTCGAAACCTCTCATTTGGGTACGGAGCCCTGCATCCATTCCGTACCCAATCTCCCTTCCTAGGAATCCCACCGAATGGCACCATGTTTGCCTCTTGAGTCTTCCGGCTACCACGATGTCGAGACTCGACTCCCTCGCGGCGCCAGGCAAACATATATAATGGGCTGGACTCCGAGATGAAAATCTCATGATGGCTTGGCTTCTTTATCCCTTCTTTCAGTTTAGCGTTTCGTACCATCGCTGGTTCCGATTTTTATTCATTCAGTTCTTTCCATTCATCATGAAGACCTCGTCCATCATCGCCCTCACATGCAGTGAGCTGGCAGCCTGCACCGTCCTCTGGGACGGCCGCTTCAACGACATGACCACGTCGGTTGACCTGGACAACTGGTCGTGGGCGAACCAAGTCGGCGAGTACCAGTGGTACATCCACGGCGACGGCGTCACGACCGACTACGTGAACCTGTCGCCCGACTACAAGAACCCGGCCGACACGGGCTCGGAACAGGGCGTCAAGATGACGCTCGACTCGACCGCGTACTGGAACGGCCAGACCATGCGCCGCACCGAGCTGATCCCGCAGACGACCGCCGCCATCAACGCCGGCACCGTCTGGTACCACTTCAGCATGATGCGCGAGGACACCAACGCGCCCTCCGTCAACCGCGAGCACCAGATCTGCTTCTTCGAGAGCCATTTCACCGAGATGAAAGCCGGCTGGCTGAGCGGGTCCAGCGGGACGTCTGACACGAACCTGCGCTGGATGGCGAACAGCGTGTCGCAATGGGACACCGAGTTCACGGCCGGCGTGTGGCACAACATTGCGTATGAGATCGACTTCACCGGCGGTACTGTCGGGTTCTGGTACTCGACCGGCGCCGATGACCTTGTGTTGACCGTCGAGCCTGTCTCCGTTTCCGCATCCAGCAATGGCGCTGATTGGCATCTGGGTGTCCTGGAGCTGCCCAGAGACGGGTATGCGGATACGGATGAGGACCTTTACTTCTCGGGAGTCTACATTGAGAGCGGAAGCATCACAACTTCTGTTGCTGGACCAGGTGGTGAGAGTGATTGATATTTGCTTGAGAGGATATGGTGGCTGATAGGGATCTAGGCGCTTCAAGTGGAGGAGACACATCCTCGAGCAGCACCACACAGGCTGGCACGACAGTCGGCAGTACCAGCACCCAGACCACGCTGCAAACCTCGACGACCAAGGTCTCGACAGTGACTACGACAGCCGCGCCCGCAACCGCGACGACATCGGCGACGGCACCGGCCGCGACGACTACTTCGTCAGCGTGCTCGGTGGCCCAGTATGCCCAATGTGGCGGGGCCAGTTGGACTGGCTGTGCGTCTTGCGCGTCAGGGATGACGTGCCAGGACTTGAACGACTACTATTCCCAGTGCTTGTAGTTGGGGCGCTTTGGAGCGCTTTCTTGTATATACTTCTTTCGACGGCACACATATGGCGACTTTCAGTGACGACACTGTATCTATTCATTTCACCACTACATTATTGCATCGTGTTAGCAGTTATTTATTGCCAGCCCATGCTTCACGTTGACTTCACTTAAGCGCTAAAAAACGCAGTGTTCTTGTCCGTAACACTCAGGCACTCGGCGACAGCCCATGGCAAGGCCCTCTGAACGGTGAGCAGGGCACTTAGGTAACACTGCGGTGGAGTTGTCCGGTATTTCCAGCTGCAGTAATATCGAATCTATCCAACAGCAGCTGAAGGCCTTCTCTTGTTACATGTATATCTGTGTCGTCCTTCCATCAATCCACGCGCATCCAGTCATGTGAAGACCAGAGAAACACATCTTGAACCATCCGAACACCGACCCGTGCTTTCCCAGATGTGTTGAAACGAGAACAGCGCAAGTTCAGCCCCTACAGGTCCCCAAAATCTACCTGGATGCTATCATATGCTTGTCAGACGTGATCCTGAGCCTGAAAGCATGGTCAACATGATGGTACACGACCTCGGGCTCATCTCCGGTTAGGTCCTCCATACAACCAATGATATAGTTGTTAAAGATCTCCATCGTCTGCTTAGCGTCCTGGGAAGCCGAATACTGAGGGAACATCCGGCTGGTGGCCCAGGACCCCGGGTCCATAGCGACCACCTCAGCCTTGAACGACTTTAGTCCTTTATCCTTGGCCGCCTCTACCATATCGCTGAACTCCTCCCACTTCTCACTAGGCTTATAGGCCGCAATGTACAGCAAGACTCGATCGCCACGCGCTTTTTGGTCTTCTTCGTCGCCGCTGTCGTACTCGCCTACGATGGCGACGCCGGCACAGTTCGCAGGCCCGAAGTCTCGAGCACGTCCTCGTCGTATCCAAGAGCCATGCCGCCCATTGGGACCGTGATGGAAGCTCGGCGCTGGATGTCGGACACGCTGAGCTGTGTTGCGCAGTCCTGTGCGATGCGCCTCAGTAGCGTGTCCACAGTAGCCTACGTGCCATTCAACAGTCCCATTTTAACGTGGCTGCCCTGCCCCCACCAAAACTTCGGCGGCTTAACCTATCCTAAGGGCTGAATTTTTACATGCTGCTACTTTCACCACGTCATTCAAAATGGCAGATTCCGACCCTTTTGAAGAGCACGCCTTTCAAGACGCCGGCTCTTCTCAAAGCACCCGTGTCTCAACACCCGCTCCTGCTACGCCATCAGCTCCCGATTCCGCCGATTCTACAATTGCTGCCCTGTGTTTAGGAGAAGAATCACACCTTTTCCGTGACAGGCCAGGCTGGGTTTTCTCTGATCGTAAGCGAGAGATTCGCTCCTAGGGATGGCAATTCGGCTACGATATCAAGAAGCTGGAAACCGGCGACCAGAAATGGGTCTGCAAGGCGTGTATCAAGAAGAAAGACCCCCAGCCAGCCTCTTACGCTGCAGCCGGCATCCAGAATGTATTGGACCATCTATTCAGCAAGCATCACATTCGCGCGCCCTTAGGAGAGACCAAATCAGCCGCCGAAAAGAAATCAGATAAATCCGGTGTCAATAAAGGGCCTAGCGTCGCTAGCCAGCTGCGGTTGAACCTGTCCAACACCAGGGAACAGTCCATTGCCAACGCCTTAATTCAAGTATTCGATCCAAAGCACTTCCAGCGACTTCTTGTGGAATGGATAAAGACGATGTACTCGCGCCCGCCGTTGTCGACGTGCGAGTCGGCGTCCTCGTACGGCTCCGACTGCGTGCGCCAGTCGTCGTCCCTGAAGATCTGCGCCGCGCGCCCCATCAGCGTCGCGCACACGATCAGCTTCACCCCGAAGAACTCGTTGGGCTTCGTCGCGCGGCAGTTGCTGTCCGTGTAGCTGAGCGAGAAGTCCGCGCTGGGCGAGCTGTAGATGCCGCGCCCGTACGTCGAGCCGCAGCGCACGGCGTGATCGGCGCCCGTGCTGGGGTCTTTATGGCCTGGTTTGAGGAAGTCGTGCTGGACTATCGAGGGCACGTATTGCCGCTGCGTGCCGTGGAATGTGATTTTAGGCTTCACGAGGTAGTCGACGAGGTCTTCCTTTCGCGGCAGGTCGTGGGGTGCGTGCGCATGAGCTTACTCCTCAGCTTCTCCTGCTTGCGACGGAAGGCCGTCGCAAGGTCGGTACTCACGACCTCCTCTACATGTAATATCCGATAGGAAGAAGGTATCTTGGTGGTGATCTCCTGCGGCGTCTTCTGGAGGAACTGGTAGGCGATCCCACCGGTCGTCATCGCCAGGTTTGCCATGGGTTGCTTCATCTCGAAGGGGAGCACTGGTTCAGTGGCGGCAGTGGCGGCAGTGGCGGCAGGATTGAAGAGGGCCTGTTTCTGCCGCCATGCCTCTACGTACTTCGCCGTCTCGCGCGCAAGCTCGGGAACTACCATCGTTGGCTCGAATATGCCGAAGTCGCATTCGTCCTCGCGGTTCTGCCATCTTGAGATATTGTTGGTAGCATCAGAGTCCTCTGCGATCTGGCGCAGCTGAGCGCGAAGCTCAATGATGAATATCCTTGAGAGTGCATGGTTGTCCACGCTCCATGTGATTGATGTGACCGGATATGACAGTCCCTTAGTGATGCGCAAATCCAGCTCCTCGTAGCTCAAGTTGAATTCCTGGTTGAGGGATTGTGATTGTGCTTCGTCCTTGCCCAAGAAGCCCGCCTCGATGAGTGCATCGGTCTCAACGTCGCGCAGGAAGGACAGCTGGATTAGATCGTCCTCGCTCAGATAGGGAGAATCAGGCATCTTTGCTGAAATACCAGGGGAGACTCGAGCAGATGTTCAATGCAAGATCTTCGAAGCGTGACTGAACTTGCAGGTGAGACTTCGAGTAGATGTTAAATGCAAGATGAAATGAGAAAATGGATAATGATAAGCCAGAAAAGATGAGTTTCCGAGGTTGGATTGATTATGAGATTGGGATGTCTCTAGGTTCAAGATTTGTGTGTTGGTGTGTGCTAAACCGATTTACGTTGGTGTCACCGTGCTAGGTGACTCATACGGTGAGCGAACGTAGCCGTTAGCTAAACTTAAATACAACCGTATACCCTTTGTAGTGCGAGATTGGTAAAACAATCTCATTAAGTTTGAGACAAAGGGAACCACTATACAATTTTCGCTTGTAAGGCTAAAACATAGGCCTCGAGGGGTGGTACTAGAAAGGGTATACGCCTTGAACAAGGCTTTGTGGCGCACTAAGGTTTAGTATCACTAGTAAAGGTTTCGCACTACAATAAATCTGTATAGTCCAGTTTGACAAGAACAGCAATCGGAAAGGGTTCTCTTATCTCCAATAAGTACACGTCTTGACTTGCCGTACTTCTGTTGTTGAGACGCGATCCACCCTAGCGGCCTGGAGTGGTTCATCCATGTCGTCAGCCCGGCAGCGCGGTGGCTATGTCGGACGGCTTCCTTCAACGGGCCGTGTTGAAGCCATTCAACAACAAGTCTAGTATGAATCTAATTAGTTAGATGTCCGCTATTTCGTTGCCTACAAGTGGAAAGTGGCTGCCTGGGCATTAGTTGCCATACAACGTTATACCCCAGGCACCACTGTCGCATCTGGAAGGCCAAAATAAGTCTTCTTGCGCCAGATAGTTATTCTAACCATCTTGCATCTTCCATGTCTACTAATTTCTCGTGGCGACCTAAGACAGGCAGTGGCCGCCATGTGTTCGGAGGGCACAAGTTGTCTTTCCGTATCGCATAACTTGTTATGGACATTGGATCGAGCATTTCGGAATAAGTTACCTGAGATTATCAGGGAAGGGTCTTGCACATTGACTGTCTGCACAGTTGGAGACGGGTAGATAGGAGAATCTTAAATATACGCTCCAGAGACTTATTTCGCCTCCCGAGGATGGAAGACCCTGCCATGCGCCCGGTTCTTTAACTGAGACAGCCCCCGTCTTTGCCCATCACCACCACCATCACTCTGAAGCATTCAACACTTCCTTCAGGTCCTTCCAAAGACAACAAGTGGAAGTCTCGTTTAAAGGCTTGGCTCAGGGCTGCTGCCTGCCTTGCGACCCCTTGGCAAGGGGCCTTTGCGAGCTGAAATGGTGAGACCCGCTAAACTGAAAAGTTCGGAGAAGCCCACTCCCGATGTGACATGTCAATGATGACATGTAACTAAAATACTCACCGCCACGCTGCCATTGAGGTTTAGACCGCGAAAGCAGAGGCAAATATTTTCCGTTCTGTTTTGTATCTTTCATGGTGTGATACTGTATCAAGAACAGCGTAGCTAGGTTGATGACCTTGCACCCCATGAGTGTCATGTATATCATTATGGTAGCCGTCAACGCCCGTTTACGATTTGCACCCAACCCCCTACCGGTACTTACTAATACCAAGCGGCTGGGCGCACCGGGCGCTCGGTTGGTGCCATGGGGTATGCATTAGCGTAGGTACGACCTCAGCTGCCTGGAGCGGGACCGCCGGGAGCCGGGAGGTCTTGGTGGTCAGCACGGAATCTTCGAACCAAAACAATGCTGACTGGGCTTCTCCCGCCGTAACTTGATCGTTGCCATAGTCTCGTAGCACATTATCATATCATCATTGGTTCTGGGGGACCATCGATAACATGCTTTTCTCAGTCTGGTGTCTCATCGCAGGGCTGGCTACGGCCCTGGCTCATGAGGGTACCAAGTCGCATCCTATCGTCGACCTTGCCCAGCGAGGAATCCGGTCGGATCGCCTGGACAGCCTCCAGCTGGGCGCAAGTGAAGACGACGCTGCGTGTTATTGCGCTCTTGCGGTATGGTCGTGCTCCATCATTATAGCCCAATTCGAAAGCTTACTCTTACGCTCAAATAGTGCGACACACTGACGGGCACCTTTGGCCCAGAGCAAGTGGACGTCTTTGGCGAGCAAGCCTACGACGCCGGTCTCGCCAGGTTCTGGTCGGTGCAGCAGGCACAGGAGACCAAGCCGCGCTGCTTTTTCCATCCGCTCAATGCCCAGGAGGTCTCCGTCGCAGTCTTGTTGTCCCGTGCGACGCAGTGCCCATTCGCGGTGAGGGGCGCTGGTCATGCGGCCTTCAAGGGGGCGTCCAATAGTGATGGTGGCCTCACCATCGACTTCATCAATATGAGGCACGTCGTTCCGAGTGCGGACAGGAAGTCTGTGGCGCTCAGCCCAGGAAACACCTGGCATGATGTGTATACCGCGCTTGAGAAGGTCAACTTGACCATGGTGGGTGGACGAGTGGCATCTGTCGGCGTTGGGGGGCTTATCCTAGGCGGTATGACTCGCACTTCAACATGCACCAATCGTGATCGATGACTGACACGTTATGCAGGTGGCATATCTTTCTTCAGCGGACAGCATGGCTGGGCATGCGACAACATTGTCAACTACGAGGTCGTAGTCGCGTCGGGTGAGATCCTGGAGGTCAACGCCGTTACTGAGCCCGATCTCTACTGGGCTCTCCGTGCTGGTGGCGGGAACTTTGGTATTGTCACGCAGTTCGTCGCAAACTCATTCGAGCAGGGACTTATGTGGGGAGGAGACAGAGCATGGGAAATGCACAGCACCAAGGCCGCTCTAATAAATGCCATGATCGGATACGTCGAGAACTATGACCCAAAGGCGGCAATCATCGTGTCATTCGCCTACGCCCAGGCTTATAACATGTGGGTATCCGTCACCAACCTCGTCTATTCAGATCCCCAACCCGCGGAGGGTCACCCAGCCGTGTTTGATGACTTCTTCGCCATCGAGAACGCGTTCCAGAACACGCCGCGGACGACTTCACATTCTGACTTGACCAACGATCTCGAGATCATGAGTCCATGGGGGGCTCGTGAGAGTTACTGGATGGTCACCACCCACGTCGACAAGCAGCTAGCCTCGGACATCATCGACATCTTCCAAGAGGAGGTCGCCCCGCTAACAAACTTCACCGACTTCGTGCCCGCCATGTCATTTCAAATCATCAGCGTCGCGCAGCGTAAAGCCATGTTGCGAAATGGCGGTAACGCGATGGGTATCGGGGGAGGCGACAAGCCGCTTCTGATCACCAACATCTCTGCCCGGTGGGCTCTGAAATCGGATGACACGGCCGTGCTGACGGCTTACCACAACTTTGTGACTCGAGTAGAGGAGAAGTCTCGGGCGCGCAACTTGTTTCACCCGTTCCTGTACATGAACTACGCCAGTCAGTGGCAAGATCCCATTGCAAGCTACGGCGCCGAGAACAAGGCGAGGCTACTGGAAGTCTCCAAGAAGTATGATCCTGAAGGTGTGTTCCAGAAGCTTCATCCGGGGTATTTCAAGCTGGCGGGTGCGCCTCTCAAATGGTAGCACATTGACGACGTTGCGGGAACATGTCGTACATATACTACTCTGGATACTTGTTTCGATTTTCCCGATTGTATATATGCTCAGGTCAGTACATGTGCAGAAAGACTGTCGTGCTACTTCTAGTTCAGTGTATGTACACGATAAGGAAGATGGAATACTCCAAACCTCCACATTCTCATAAGCACCCATTACGGCACCAAGGCCCTTCTCGGCAGCATCGCACTCCCTTTCAAGAATATGCAGAACCCTGCGCCGATAGGGTTTGTGCTACGGCGCAGGGATAGTCATGAAACCAGTCACAATAGTCATCTGATCAACGTCACCGTCCTCAGCAGGCTTTACATCAAAAGCCCAAAGCAACATCCCATCAACAGCCAGGTTGTTGGGAATTAATGGCTGTCGCGGCGCTGGCCGTGTTGAGCACCGCGATGGCGCCCTGAAATCTCGCCCATGGGTCCCAGCAGAGGAGTGGTCTGTCAAGCGGCGAAGTATGCATGCCGCTTATGATGGGGAGCTTGAGGCGGACTGGGTGGTACGGGGCTTTCTTCTTCGTGTTGCGAACTACGCGGCGATTAGACAATCGAATAAGTTAACACGGCGAGTTAGGATGCTGAGAAATCCCCCGTTCTGGTCAGCAACTTTAACGGGTTCAGGACTTTTATGGTATAGCGGACGTTTACTACTACGATTACCCTTGAAGCTGGTAACGAGGCGTTGAGATTTGGATTATCTTCTCTATCTCGTACATTTTCTCCACCTGACCAACCACTGTGGTCTCGCAACAACGTAGCAATACTACCCTGCCTACCATACCGCCTCTCCATACATTCGGCCACTGAGACAGATATAGGGACTCCTCTGTGTCTGAAATGCTGACAAGTGCAGCGATATTTCCTCTGGGAACTCGAATACTTGGGTCTCCTTTCTCTAGACTTCACTCCTTAGACTTTAGGTGCCCCATATGGCATGCATCGCAAACCCAGGCTGGTGGAGATCTATTCTAACATAACTCGGTTGAACATCACCATATTCACCATAATCCAACTACAAGCTGGCCTCAAAGGGCGGAAACGGCGGCAAAGGCCACCTCTGGATAGAGAAACATCCCTTCAAAAGGCGGTATTGCTCGTATGGCCACCGAAACTATCTTCCACCAGTGTGTCAACCTTGCCCTGTGGCTTCTGTCAGAACACGTTCGACGCATCTGACACATCTCCACAAGACGAAAGCGTCCTCCACATGCCGATGTCAGGTGATCGTTGGGGCGTCGTTTTCGCAATGGAAAAAGGGGTTGCGGTCAGGGTATCCTTAAGTACTCCCCCAAGAGAAACCTGGCGCCTTGAAGACCCCATCGGGTGCGCATCATGTACCCTTGCGTGCGCGCATACTGCATAGTTAACTTGTTCCCAGACCGTCTCACGTGGGGTGTGCTCGGAGTAAGTGACCCCTCGCCATATAAAGGCGAGCCCTCGCCCGGCGTGAAACGCCAGGCTGATCCAAGGAGCTTCTCGCCCGTGCACCCCATCTCAGCCACGAGGTTGAGAACGTCGTTCCAGTGGATTTCACCAGGCCTGGTGGCTGCCTCTTCGGCTTGAAGGAGGACATACTCGAATATCTCGAGTGCTCGGTGCGACAGTCGAAACTCTTTCGTGTCGGCTTCGTCCTCACTCTACGCTGCTTATTCGTCCGCCTCTTCCGCTAGGCGATCTAGGTCGGGGACCCCACGAGTCTTCTTCTTTAGACTCCGGGGCTTTTCCCGACCGCTTTTACGGCTATCGCTAGTGTCCAGGGCAAGTCCCGCGAAGGGGAGCACCATTTCCATAGGGATTTTCGGGGCCTCTTGCATCGGTTCATTGTTCGGGCTGGCGGCCGTCTCAGCTGGAGGAGGTATAACCTGGGATTTGATGATATCCTCCAAAGCAGTATCGATGCAACCCAATGTGCGTAGCTCGCCCATCGCTTTGGTCCAGAAATCTTCCAAGTTCTCTATGGCTTTAATGATCACATGCTGGTTCTTCCGGGTCATCATTCTATCTTTCGGACTCGGAAATCGTTGTCCTGTCGGTCGGCCCGCCAAGACGGTCTCTTTTTGAAAGGTATTCTTGCCCTTGCGAAGTCGCTCCAGCGGCCGGAAAACCCCTTCCACTTCCTTCTTTAATCGCTGCTCGTGAGGCTCTCTCGTCTTTGAATCGTTGAGGTCGATGGCAAACTTGCCAGCCCAGGGCTGGAAGGCCTCTGACCGGTCGAGGATGTCGGTAAGCACAACGATGGGAAGAAGTGTCCTTGTCAAACGCTCTGACATCACGTCACGGGTCGCCGTGTCAGTTGTGGTAACTAGGGCGTCTAGAATCGTTTTCAGCCCTACCTGGGACGTCGGACCCTTGCCAAACATCAGAATCAGTAGCGTTACGGTTTCTTCGGTCGATTGGTCTAGTTTTCTGGCGGGATATTGGCGGAAGTTTGACTTTCGCGAGTTCGTAATGAGCGAGCCAGGCTTGGTATACCTGATGTAATACTCGCGGAGCTCAGGGGATGAGAAAATCTCTTCGCCGCCGTTGAAGTATTTGATCAGGGTTCTGATAATAGACATCAGGGAAAATATCGCGTAAAGAAACGCATCTTCTAAAGGCTTTGGTAGCTCATCTTCTGGTTGCAATGTCACTGAATGAGTGGCATATTCCTTGGCAAGGTCGTGTATAATGACAGATGCAACTCTCCATGTGGGTATCGTCTTCAAGGTTATCGTTACCATGTCTCGGATGGTAGCTTCCCATATAGGCTCGTATCCCGAACCTTGAGTACTGCCCAGTAGCTCTGGAGTGGGGTTTCCACGGTCGTCTTTCACCCAACCTTAGTGGTGATCTAGATGTTCGACAATGGTCTGCTTGAAAGACTCCGGGTTCTCTTTCATTTGCCGTAAATTTTCTCTGGTATCGTGGCTCCACGAGCTGATCAGGTCAGATATACGGGGGAGGTTAAGCTTTTAAGGGATCCCATATGCGGTCTCCAACGCGACCATCGCGGAGGTCTTTACGGACGGCGCCTCTCGACGCGTGGTCGTGGCAGTGGATGAAAACGGAGAGGATGGCGATGCGATCGACGAGGCTCGGACGAGTCTTGCCACCTCCGCCCGCCATCGTACCAGGAATTTGTATAGTTTTAACTGGTGTTCCAAGACAACCATACCTTCGCCGGGCGTAGTTGCTCTGTGTCGAAGCAGTAACGCGAAGTTTTTGTCCCCAACTTCACTGGTGAGGGGAAGAAGTTCTGCATATCGATCTCCTTCTGAGTGAAAAATCACGACATATCGTGCTAGGAATGGGCCTTGTGTGATGCGAAGTTGTCGTCCAACATGCGCCTCATAAAGGGCGGGCCTCCAGAAATGAACAGGATGTTCAGAGCTTCGGGATGAGAATAGAAGCGTCATGGACGATGGTCTAGTGCTCAGGTCTTCATTGTTGATGTAAGGCAGTGCGAATGCTTGCGCATCTTTCTGAAGCGCCTTAGCGCCTCTGCTGCCGAGCTTCACGCGATCTTGTGTAATGGCTCCCAGGTGAGGGAGTAAGGTGTGGATGTCGGGTCGATGTCGGAGGGGTAGGGTCCCATTCCAGGCCACTGCCAAGGCAGCGCTTCGCTGCTTAGGACTCATGGTTATCTCCCAGGACGCATCAATCTTGTTTCCGTGGGTAGTCCGAAATCCCTTCAGCTGCTCGAATGATGTCAGAACGCGCTGACCAAGGAGTTAAATTCGGTGATTGTAGTCAGCTGCTGATATCAGGGCAGGGAGCGGGAAACCATCGTTTCCGCCTTAACCGAAGGACATCAGGTACAAATTGGCATCATCACGCTCCGGGTTGAAGTTGTAGAAAGCATGCCAGGTGGGATCCGGCCGCGAGAGCCAATCGTGGATATCCATCGTTGTCACGCGTGTACGGGATCAGGGTCGTCGGTATGTTGTCAGGGTGAGGTAGGATCGGTGGTTGTGGGGGATGGGGGAGCGGAGAGGGCGGTTTACGCGTCGTACTGGAGGATACAGATCTTGTTGTTGGCGAGGGATAGTACGTGATCATGGTCTTCTTCTGACGATGATGATGACGATGATGGTTTGCGTTGCTCCCGGGGAGGCGAGTGCGTCGAAAGATGGCTTCTTGGGGATGCGAGAAGTGCCAGTAACTTGAACCCACCACACTAGGTGCCGAATTGGGCCCCCCTCCACACCACGCATTCCACAGTTAGCAACACCATACTTGAGTGCGCGTCCTCTAAACCCCGAAGGCAGAAGTCTATGAGTTCAGGGGTGACTGGAACGAAAGTCTGTAGCACGCCTGCTAGGTCTTGCGTGTTGATGAAGGGAGCTGTGAAAGCCCCATGCCAGATTTTAGCTCATCCTTCCTGCCACTGTTCAGTTCCCCACCTGGGGCAGAGAACCCTCTCTTTACTTGAAGTACTTCACATAGGCCTGGCCGGTGGTGACTTGGAGAGGCTTCTTTTCAGCTGCTGATCAAAATCTCGTTCCGCCGAAGACTCTTCCCTAGAGCAGCCATTTCCTTCACCAAAGCAAATCATCGAGTTACATAAGAAATGAACGGGTAAAACAGTGACATTATATAACGGCAGTTCAGCTGACGGATCATTAGACGCTGACCCGGGCTACCCGAAAGAGTTGCGGAGGTACACGAAAGCCTCAGTTGATGGGAGACATTGGGATATTTATTTTTGTGAAATGGGTACCATATGTTTGGGTAGGACATTCAGGCTGATGCCATGAATAAACCTACGAGTATGATTTTATCTGATGACCAGACTTCTCTCCGCGCTTCTAACACACCAAGGAGATCATGGGGATGCAAACGTCATCCTCATAAGAACTATGCTCCGGCATCCCGGTCCTGTGGGTGTTGTTCACTCCAAGCCGAGAAGCCACTGTCAGGCTTTTGATGGAGTGTTTGCTCTAGCATTCCCCAACCAGGAGCTATCCACCAGGCCTCTCAGCCATTAAAAGACTATCGCTGGTGAAATCATCCCAGACGAAGCAGCAACCATTGTCCACCATAACAGGGTTCGGCTTGGTCTTGTGTGCAGCAACTTGCTCCGACTGCATCTCCCGCTTCAAACCCCAGTCCAGAGTTCGAAAGCGGTCATCCACTATATACCAGAGCAGGCCCCCGAGCTAGGTTTGGCGTCGTGCGTCCGGATCTAGTGCCTAGCGTCTAGCAGGCGCTGCATAGCAAGCCCATTGTCGACGCCGGGGGCGAGGTTAATGCCCATGGCGTAGCTGTCCTTGAGTGCATGTAGCATGCCCAGAACCCGCAGACGTGGAGTTGAATTGGCGAAGTTGGATAGTGTGGGCTTCGCGGTGTCGTAGCCGTGGGGCGAGTACACGATGGCATCGTGCTGTGTCGCATCCCCTTTCCCCTCATTCTCCCCATCGTCGTCCTTATGCGACCATAGGGTCGCGATGCAGTGTTGCAGGTGGCTCGCGGGCGGCAGGCGCATGACGGTTAGCCAGCTTGGGAGAGGGTAACCCGGATGTGTGTTACGCCACGAGGAACCAGTTTCATCAGAGAATGCACGCATCTCGACGACGCGATCGAAATGATGCCACCCGTCGATGGCGTGCTTCGCTGCCGGGTCCGCCACCACGGGAATCGAGGGCGCGAAGGTGACCAGAGAATCTCTGTCGCAGTGATCCTTCACCGACATACAGATGAACAAGGCGTCGACACCCGCGTTCGCCGCACTTGCATCGTAGTTCTGCCCGTTAGCGCCTCGATCTGGGCGACAACGCAATCGACAGCGGTGCCATTAGGGACAGCCGGCGGGTCCGGAAGCGACACCTTGGCAAACAGGGGCGAAAAATATGTGATTGGGTGGCCTGAGAGCCAGGGGTCCTGCACGACGTGGTAGAAGAACTTTCCCGTTGAGGCGCGTTCTTTGGCGGGACGCGGGTACGAATACAGCCACGAGTTGTCCCCGTTGAGTTGACCATGAGCGGACGGAGCGTCTGCGGCGCTTTGGACCCAGCTGCCTCAGACTTGGCGAAGAAAGTCCTCAGCGTCTCAGCTCTGCTGATCGAGGCCATGATAAGTTCGATGTGCTTGTCAGGTTAACCGTAGATACCTGCTGTTGGCTTCGATAGATCTCGAGGTGGCGTAGAGGCTCTGGGGCTTGCTGGAATCTGAAGAGAGTGAGTCTCTGGGGTGATGAGCTGGGCTTCCGACAGAGTGCCCAGCCACTGTGGTACATGTTGGGTTTGAACACCTCAACCAACAAACCAACCAGCCAACCGACCAAACGGCCGACCAACCAACCAACACGCAGGGTTCAGCTTCCTTGCGTCGCACGAGTAATTTGCGGCTAGGACTTACTCATCCCTAGTCAAGCATGCCGACTCCGTATATTCCAACCGTCAGGGGCCTACGATCTAATAGGGCACCTTAGTTCATCCTTATTTGTTAGTGGGCTCAGATACCAATACTGAGAAAACTTTAACCCAGAACGGTATCCTGTTTATGGGCTGCGTAGTGTGGAGTACCAAGAACTCGAACCGTTGTAGGCATTAGTCGCTCGACAACATGGCACTGTGATGCGTCTAATATGTAGGTCGTGGTTTGGGATATTCTGTTCTGGCAACGCCTTTGGGACTGTCTGGGGTCAATGCCCATACTACCTAAGCATAGATCATTCCTTTGGCCTCCAATCGAAGGTCAAGGGGGTTTCCTCGAAAGAACGGGTCAGGCTAGCTAAGACACCCACCCTAATGGGTCAGACAGTTGTCCCTGAAGTGCAGGTGACCTCGTGAGTTCTACACCTGGTGTAAAAACATCAGCGTTTCGAACTCTGGTCGGTCCCCCTCCATTCAGCAGCTCTTTCGCAGTAGCCAGGTTGTCCTTGTGGGCTGCGATGTGAAGAGCTGTCTCCATGGACATAGACGGCGCATCAACGTCGGAACTTGGCACTCATCTCGACCAGCTCCTTGACCAAGGTGCTGTCTTTTCTCTGAGCCGCACAGTGCAGCACGATGAATCCGAGGGCGCCCGGGTAGTTGATGTCGACTCCCTTCTGCTGCAGCATCTTGATAAAGGCGGATTGACGAGTCGGGCGGCCATGTGCATAGGAGCGTCGTAAGAAACGTTCCGCCCAGTCAAAAGACCTTGGCGTAGTGCTGGTCGGTTTGCGGCGAATAGCGTGAAGTGATATTCAAGAACACCTGTAATTGTGAGCCAGTATTAGTACGCTGATATAGAGGCGTGCTACTGGTTCTGTGGGATGGACACATCCCTGTTTTGCAGTCTGAGCTGCAATACGCATAGTCGTAATCCCATCCTTGTCTACGACCTTGGCGAGTATTTCTTCCTTGGTGGCTTTCTCTTTCTGAGCGATTTTGACTAGGCGGGTGTCGAGCTAGGTTACAACCGCACGTCGGGCAGGCTCGAAGAGGAGCTCAACAATCAGCGGATGATACCGTGATAGGCATTGTGAATGAGCGACAGATACTCTAACAGGTAACGCGTGATGCAAGACCTGGAGTGGCAGAAGGTGAGGCAATCAAACGAGCACAGGTAGCGGAATACTAACAGCGAGGGTGTTGATGTGGAACGGAAGAGAGGGTGAGGTGCATGGCGCTCACTTTATAGATTGGGATAGAAGTAGAAGTCTGCTTCCAATCAACGCAGCATCGATAGCTCGCCTGACAATGGATAGTTGTTATTTATATAGCTGCTGTACAGCTAGAAGTGAATGGTTGAGGGTCAGAGGACCTATGCTACAGTGAGCTGCATCGTAGTGTGTGCTGTGCAGGTCCATCCACTTGGTACCATCCATTGAAGGTCGCCGCTGGTATCCTATTACTGTTTGTTTTGGCAGAGGCGCATTTATCATCCGAGTTTACCCCAATGGTGCAAACTTCTTAGACTGTAGGATGGGTTCTTGCTGTGATGCGTGTCCTTTTACGATGTAAACGTAGGTCACATATCTCAAAGGAACTGGCAACTGTACCAGAGCAGCCGTTCAGTGTCTTGTCATTGTAAGGGGTCCTATCTTCTAAATACAGCTTGAGATAAAGCGCTACCAATGCAATAACAGGCTTCCCTGCCCTAATCTTCAAAGGTGACAAGCACCTTGAAACTGCCTTGGGCAGGCTCCTGGACAGATATATATGTATCGATTCTTGCGATTTCCCCATCTCCCGTGTAGCCATCCTTGGCATCGTCCCAGAGCTTTTCCCACGACTTTTCATTGTGGGTTGCGGCGGCCCAGGGCCCGCTTAGTTGAGCTTCCGCCATTGTCCAACCTGTGATCAGTGCCGCGGCGCCTTTCTGTTTCTTAGCTAACATATAGAGAAGATTCGCTGCTATATCTTTCTGTTCTTTGTCCTTCCTGAACAAGTGGAACAGCCTCGATGCATATACGATGGAGAACCTGTGGTTGTCGAGCTTGCTGCCCTTTATCAAATCGAGCTTGGTGAGATCGACACCGCCATAGAGCTGGTCGTCATCGAGGTGACTTTTTCCAAAGGCTTTCTTGCCCATCGCGAAGAACTCCCCTTTCAAGTCAGTCCCGAAAAGCTTCTCTTTGGTAACACCATCCTTGAGAAGCCAATGGAGGTCTGGAAGAGGACCTGATCCTACGTCGAGCAAGGACTGCTCATCGTTCCCCCGCAGCCGACCTAGGACGTCGTCTTCGTACCACGGCAATCCGGGTATGGTGGGAGTGAGGAAAGCATATGACATAAAATACGAATTTCTCTCTCCCATCATGATCGACTCCGAACGTGCTGCCAGAACCCTGTCTTCCATATCATCCTCCGAGATTGGGTCACCTGATTTTTTTGCCATCGCATGAAAGAGCGATTTCAGCTCTTCGGGCATCTCATCCCGAGAAACAATGGGTGACAGGTTGACAGAGTTGCTCCTTGTGTCGATACTGGTAGGCGACGGGGTAACGTGGGCTATCAGCCCAGCTATGAGCAGGAGCTTTGAAACAATCATTGTGCCGAAAGATGGAGTTGACTCGTGCCGTGGGTGGTTGTTCTCGTTCAGTTGGTGTGATCTGAGATCTGATTGTGGTATTCTGGATGCAGTCTATCTACTTTTGAACACGTACGAATTTGCCTCTTTTGCATGGGCTTGAACTGAGCCGCATTTGCCGCCTTCCTATTCTAGGTAATGGTTCTATAAATGGGTGGTAACTTCATTAGAGGCGAACTGACGAGCTGACCGACAGGGCTGACCGGCTCGGCGCGACGCAGGCACCCATCTTAAACGCGGAATTGACGAATAGTGTTTAAAAGATAACGAGATTGGATTGGATCAACCGACGACCTACCACTTTAAATGCCCTTAAACACCCACTTGGTGCTACGTGTCAGCGCGTTCTCCGAGAATGTGGCGGGGTGTAGGTGGATAGGGGGATGGAGGGTGTGACAGCCTGCACGGACCTTCCCACATGACAAGCCGATACTTCCCAATAAGGGAAGGATCTGACCAGAGGATCCCCTTAAAGGGGCAACCTCCCACTGTACCTATCTCTCTCTCTCTCTTCCTTTCCTCTCTAGTCTTGATATTCTCGTCAATAGAGTAATAGCTGCTTGCTGCAGGCCATGTCCCAGCTCCCCAGTATGATCGCCGTGACAGAGGGCGGGGGAGGATCGAATCCTCCATCCGTCATCTTGGCATAAATCCCCATAATTTTCGCTGACTCCGAACCTAAATCAATATTTAGTTCCTTTTAGACTTGTAGAATTTCTAAAGAGGGACTCGGTTCCTGGTGCTTCTTTGGAGTTGATAGTAAGCAATGGAGTGGAAACGTAGTCTAACAATCTCAGAGAGGACTTCAGCTCGAGGTCTGTGCTCCTTCAAGACGGCGTCTCTCGAATAGAAACTTTGATGAAAAATCGCAAGGCTTAACAATCAAATTACCCTCATGTTTGCACCAAGTGCGCAGTTGAAGGTCATGGACGTACAATGCTGACCTGAACGTCGTCTTACCAGGCACAAGTAGTGGTCTAATTGCAACTATGACAATGATCTTTAGCCGGCGATCTCGCTCCGCTTTCCCACTACAGGCCCGGATTCGTGTTCCAACTGTACGATCTTGCATGCATTACCATCATCCTTCCCTTTGGTTCCACTCAAAGGACGTCAAAACGTTGTGGGCCCTTAACCTGGAATTGCATCGAGCGAAGCAGCCGCTGCACTCTTACTTAGGGTGTATTTGAACCTGTTTTGTTTGTTTGTTTGTTTTTTATTTAACGTGGGGATTGCTCCTCAGTAGTGCAAACCACGCCTCCCAGAGCCTCTGTATCGCAGGGTTGTGGAGGTATCAAGATAATAAGTACAGTCAGTCCCGCTCACGGGCCCATCCCTGTTGTTGTGGCGTTATGACCTTGGGGTCATCCATCTGGTCCTTCAAGAAAAGCTATCTATTGGGGGCAGATTGTTGAAAAGAACTTGCTCTTCTCTATGAATTTTGCTCATTCTGTGCTCCTCTCCCTTAAGTATTATAAACAAGCTGTCCTAGGCGAGTACCTAGGCAGCAGCCGGTTTTTCCCCAGTCTCTTACAGAAGAAAATGTGTTGTGGTGTTTTCTTTTCACCACAGCTGCAGTGATCATTCGAGTCTGTATGTCCAAAGCGTTCATGGTATCTGGCAAAGTCGCCATGTCCAGATCTGGCCGCTAGAAGTCTGTGTAAAGTACTCCTCTTAAAAGATATAAGGTCTCTTTTAGTTATTATATGTGAGTATATTTCCTAATATTTAGGTTCTGATTGGTCTTTTTATCATTGGTTGAATTCTTTTTTGCCCTTTCTTTTGAGATCTTTCTTGACCCAAGAGATTATAAGAAGGTTTATTATGTCTGTTTTTAGCATGGTACCTTTTTTTGCTAGTGTGTCGGCAGCTTCGTTGCTATCAATATCTCTGTGTCCAGGAATCCACTTGACGGTCACTCCAGGAGTGTGTACTGTGGCAAGTTCTTGAAATCGTAGAAAAATGTTCTGTGATGTCTCGGGTGGAGTCCCATTGAGCCCATCTACCACTGACATGTTGTCCAGGCAGACATATAGCTGTTTTCCGTGTCTAATTGCCCTGGCTGCTGCAAGACCTTAGAGAGCACCATGGACTTCAGCATCTATTACTTCTGCTTGGAGAAGTCTGTCCTTTCCCCGGTATACTTCTTGTGTAGTGCCGCCTTTCCTGATAATATAACCCTATTCAGTGCGGGTTGTGCCTTGGTCGTCTAACTGTGATCCATCTGAATAGATGACAAGGTCAGTATTTACGTTTCTTTCTTGTAGTCATTGCTTAAAGAGCTTTGTTTTTTTGTCTTTGTCTTTATGGATTAGGGGCTTCTTCTATGATGGCCTGGTAAGTGTTGGTCTCTGGAAGTCAGGGACTAGCTAGAAGCTCTTTTGTAGCCTTGTTGGATTCTTGCGAGCTTGTATTTGGAGCCTGCCAACAAGAGGGTGTCTCTGGTCTATTCGTCCTAGTCGGAGGCTGTGACGTCGTCTTATTGACTCTGCAAGAACTCCTGCTGGGGGAATCTGCAATTCAAAGTGTAGGATATGTCCAGGGTGTGTTTTCCAGACTGGCAAGATAGCCCTGATCGCTGTTCGTAGTACGGCATCTATTGTTCCAAGAAGCCCCTTAATGCGACATGCTGATGTCCCACCTAAGCTCCCAACTTTCTCGATTCCTGGGTACCAGGCCTCCAGGCCGTGTGTAAGAATATGAATAATACAAGCTTTCACAGCCCTCTTGGTTGACTTTACTGGAAGTCCTTTGACTGTGTTGCATAGCCCTTGAAGGTGATTTGCTACCTTATTAGCTTTCTTGGCCCAGTAAGAAACGTGATTTTTGAAGTTTAGTTTTCTATCTAAGAAGACACCCAGCCATCGCATGGAGTCCTTTGCTGTTTTGTTCATTGTCCCGTGGCGGATTGGAGGGTTGTTTAAGTTCTTTTTCCTTAAGAACTGCATGATCTCAGTTTTGTCAGGGTCAAATTTAATAGCGTTATTATGTCTCTATTGACTGAGCAAGTAAAGATTTTTAGAAGCCTTTATAGCTGTTTCTTTAAGGTTCTTTCTAATGCAGAGAGTCGCTAGGTCGGCTGTATATCCAAAGCGTCTCTTTTTCATACCAAGTCGGGCACAGATTGGCTCTGTATACAGCATGTAAAGGATTAGAGAGGCTGGTGAGCCTTGTGGTAGCCCACAAGTGAGAGCTTTGATATCAGTCACAATACCTTCAAACCGAACCCTTGCGGACCGCTCGGACATGAATGACTGGACCCATCTTATGAGAAAGCCCGGCCAGCCCTGTTCTCTTATGCGAACCACCAGCCGTCCCATTAGGGCAGCATCAAAGGCCCCTTTCATATCTGACGTGACTACTGTTACAACAAGGCCTTGGTCAAGGGCCTGCTCAATATCATGTATGAGTGCGGCTACCAGGTCAGTGGCAGAGCGCTTTGGTAGAGCTCCAAAATATTGTGGAGCTAGAATTCCAAGTTTGACAATAAACCAGGTAATTCTTTTTGCGATAAGTCGTTCTAGGCCTTTGCCAAGACATGACAGTAGCGATATTGGTCTGTAGGCCCTGGGATTGGAGTAGTCTTTCTTTCCTGGTTTTAGAATCATCACCACCTCAGCTACTTTGAATGGTTTAGGGTGGTGTCCAATCTGTAGGCAGGTCTGGAAAAGGGCTCTGATATGTTCCCCAATGAATGGCCAGCAAGCTTTCAGAATCCGTACTGTGAGGGTATCTATTCCCGGAGAGTTGCTCTTGGTCCCTAAAGTACACCCTTCAGCCTCTTCCAGTCCGACATGGTATTCAAGGGGGATGTGTGGCTTGGGTTATATGATCTGAGCGGATCAGGGGTCGATAATATCGTTGTCTGAGATACTTCGTTCAAGCGTGGCTGAGCGTAATGCATTTGCCTTGTTCTCTTATGACTCGAATATTTGGTCTCCTATGATGATTAGAGGGGAACGCAATCCTGCTGATAGCTTGTATCAAGAGACGATTCTGTATAGGTCCTTTGACTCAGTTGCTGAATTGATTAGAGTCTGTCAGTACTCTCTCTTAGCTTTCCGAACCACGCGGTGAAATTCCCGTTGGGCTGAATTCCACCCTTCTTGGCTTATAGTCTGTTTAAAAAGGGCCCTGTATGTCTGAACAGCTGCTTTGCAGTCATCATTCCACCAAGCAATAGGCTTAAATTGACGGGGCTTCTTACCCATTGTCCTGATACAGCCTTGGATCATGTTGATCAAGCTTTGTGTAAAGGCATCCACCTGACCAGGGGATACACCCAGCCGGGGGAGTTCATGAATCATGGTTTGGACATTATCTGCCAGCTCTTGTAGTTTATCGTCCGGTACTATCTAATGATTGGCCTTGGGGACTCGGTCTAGATCTCCCTGAACTGGAATGACTATTCGTAAAGTCTTATGATCTGAGGTGCACTGAAGTGTATCATTGACTGAGGCTTCAGCCATGGGGACATCTGAGAACACCAGATCCAGTACATTTCCATCGTCATGTGTTGGGACATCTGGTTCAGAAATCAGATCCAGTCCGTGGTCTGCCATAGTCTGTGCAAGTATGACACCACCATGATATCCTGGATTGCTCGAGTCCCAGGATGTGTCGCCAGCATTGAAATCTCCAGCTATAACGCAGCCAAAAGGTGGAGTCCATACTTCCAGAATATCATCCATTTCCTGTGGGTTGTCACATGGCCGGGAGACACTGGCAAATGTAATGCCTTGTACCTTGACCAGATGATGTCTTGTGTAACATAGGGCCGAAATTGATCCGCTTAAAGGTGTTTTCTCACATAGATGAGAGATCTGGGCCGTGTACTGTCGCTGTCCCAGGAATCCACTGGGGAGTATATATCGTAATTGGGGTGTGTCTTTACTCCCATTCTCCTGCCTGTGACCGTCAAGTGGATTCCTGGACACAGAGATATTGATGGCAACGAAGCT